GGCGGCGCAGCACCGCGCGTCGTCGAGGTTGCGCTCCAGGGCGGCCATGTAGCTCCAGAGCCGCCGGCGCCGCTGGTCTCGGCCGTCGTCGTCGGCGGCGGCGAGCCGCAGGGCGTCGGCCCACCGCTCGTAGACGAGCTCGGCGAGCATCTCTTCGAGGACCACGTCTTGCACGTGGTCCACGGCGGCGGCCAGCTCGTCGTCGAGCGTCTTGACCGGCGCCGCGTCACGCGGCGATGTGGGATACCGCGCCACCGCCACCGCACCGTACTGCTGATGCAGCGCGGATCGTCTCGTGGCCGCGTCTTGGTGCCGCAGGCGCGGCGCCGACTTGTGCCTCTTGGTTGTACCGAGCGCCGCCTCGAGGGGCGTGTCGACGAGGAGAACCGGGGTGGGCGACGACAGCCACAGCGCGGCCATTCTCAGCACGACCGCGCTCCTCCTGCCAGCACCCGTCGTCTTCTCCTCCTCCTGCTCTGGGTACCGCCAGGTCCACCAGCGCGCCGCCCTGTCGCGCGGACGAAACGGCCGGCCCCGCGCAAAGGCTTCGACAAAGGCGCCGTCGACGCCCGCGAGGCTGCGCAGGGCGTCGCTGACGTCGCTGCTCACTAGGGCCCCGCGCAGCACGATGAGCTGCTCGACGCCCGACGGCTCCCCGCCGAGGAGCTCGGAGCGCAGGTTGTCAATGGTGTCGAGGCGGTGCCGGTGGTGCGACTGCGGCGTCCACTCGAGGACGTAGCCGAGGGGCGCGATGCCGTCGTCGGCGCCGGGGAGGTAAGGGGAGAGCGGCTTGCGACGACGTTGCGACATGGTAGGTATACTAGCTGCAGCTGTCCTCTTTTTTTTTAGGTTTGTATCTTGTAAGTTCGAACGCTGAATATATGTTGTCTTCAACTGTTGCGTAGCATCGCATAGAGTCTGAAAAAGTTGCCATAGATAGGGCCATGGTATATACTCGACTCACCGGCAACGTTGGAATGATCACGCAGCTGCGGGAACGATGGGCATCTCTTGACACGTCTGCATCATGCGACCGAAGACACACATTTTTCAATAAATTTGCTCCTTCTCGAATACACACTGTCACGCTTGCGTGTGTTGCGACCTCATGGTGATCATACGCCAGGCCTGAGGTGGTCATGCGCCACAAGCCAAAGTCACCATGTCATCTATTCTCTCGCTCGAGACGACAGCTGACAAGAAACGTCCTGCAATCGAAGAAAAAAGGAGCAACTGGTTTTTGGACAGATGATTTTGAAAACTGACATGCGTATCGATAGATTCAGATATCAGCTGTAGTAAACTGGAAATAACTAGGAAAAGCAGGATTGATTCAAACGAAATACACCATTTCCCAGCTTGCCTCTCCATTGCTCCCGGAACGCCATTCAAACATACAATTTCGCAAACGCCGCGTTTTTTTGTTTTTGATGATGCAAGGCAACCGATGAAATATTTGGTGTAATGTGTTAGACATGGCAAATATTTCCGGTCCCAAGTTTGGCAGACGCACAGTGCTCGAGCGAGAGCACTCAAGAGTACCTGCTACCTCGCCTATCCATCAAGTCGTTACAAGGACGGCTCAAGAACCAAAATAAAAAATAGGCTGAAATACATAAAAAGCGGCCGAATGCAACTCTAATAACTCAATGCAAGGTCGTGTACACATATCTGCTGATGAGCAAGCCTGGCGGCAAGGTCTGTTGTTTTGTGGCTAGGTTTCGATGCCGGTGTGGTAGGTGTGGTGCTCATGATGGCCGTGGTCGTCGCCGTCATGGTGCAAAGTGACGCTATTGAACTCGAGGAACGGGTCCGCGATTTCGTTGCCCGGGGTGGAAAGTCCACTGTCCAGGGGGACCCCTGGCATCCTGGAGCCGCTGATATCGACGCTTTCGCTCTCCTTTACGTTTCGGAAATTGACAGTATCGATGCCGCGGCCAGCATGAGGAACAATGGGGGGCTTCATGTGGCGAATAAGAGCCCATTGCGTGGTGCGGAAGAAGGGGTGGACTTTGATATCGGAAGCGCCTGCCCTGGCGCCTAGTCGTCGGTTCTCATCTTTGGTCAGAAGCTTTCGAATAAGAGATTTGCAGAGACTGCGGGTTTGTTAGCATAACTGAACGCGGCGCAGTCGATATGCAAGTTTGCGCGTTTGCTTACTTTGAAATCTGCGGAGCACCAGCGTGGTCGGGGAAGGGTATGTCCTCGCGGAGAATGTTGGCAAAAGTCGCATTGCGGTTCTTGCCCTTGAAAGGGGTTGTGCCGTAGAGCATTTCGTAGATGAGAATGCCCAGTGTCCACCAGTCGACGGCACTTGTATGCCCGCTACCCTTAATAACTTCTGGCGCAATGTACTCCTCGGTGCCGACGAAGGAGTTGGTGCGGAAATTGGCGATGCACGATCTGGTGTCGATGGTGGGGAGGGCGTCGGTTCGCGCTCCATTTTTGCCAACAATCATGGTTGGTTTGCCGCCGAGATCGGATTGTTTTGACAAGTCGAAATCCGAAAGCATAATGTGTCCAGATTGATGCAGAAGAATATCTGGGAGGTACGTTAGAAGGGGTAGGGTTCGTGGTGGTAATGCCAAGTGACCTACTTTCAGGCTTGAGATCTCTGTAGATGAAGCCCATTAGATGCAAATACTCGAGAGCTGCCGTGACTTCGGCAGCGTAGAAGCGTGCATCTTCTTCGGGAATGCACTTTCCGGGGCGCGTCTGCAGGGCACGGAAGAATTCGCCACCGCTGCAGTACTCCATGCATAGATAGAGATGGTCCTCAGATTGGAACGAGTGGTAAAGCGTGACAATAAAAGGGTGGTTACTCGTGGCCAGAATTTCTTGCTCGGCGAGAGCCCTCTTGATTTTATTGCGCTTGATCATTTCCTTCTTGCTCAAGACTATAGAATAGAGATGGGTCAGTTGATGGGGAGGAACGAGTCAAGGATGATACATACCCTTCATTGCGTATAGACGATTACTCTTCTTCTCGCGGACAAGATAGACCTTGCCGACATCTCCCTTTCCAATAAGCTTGATCTTGTCAAAGCTAGAGGGATTTACCTCCACATTGCGGATTTTGATGGAATTGGAGCTGTATGTTCGGCGGAAGGTGGCATTGGTAGCCTTGGGAGGGGGGAGAGCGCCGAGGGTATCAGTGTCCTGCAGCCCAGCGGCATGAGCTTTGGCGATGGCAGACGCAGAGCTGATGAGGCCAACGTTGCCGGAGCCGGGACTCTGAAAGACGGGATCCTTGCCGAGCTCGGCGGTGCCCGGGCGGTTGCCTGCGATGCCAAGGACATTGTCGGCATCATTGACAAACATGCCCTGGGCATTGGGGGCGCTGGCAACTCGTCGCAGCCTGCGGGCAAGCTCCTCCTTGGTCTCGGTGGTTGTGTGCTCGCCGGGGTTGCCGTCGAGGCCGGAGACATGTAGGGCCGGGGTATCGGGCGGGCTGGGGGGCACGGAGCCGTCGTTGTGGTGGCGGAGGCCGGGCTGGCCCTGGTGGACAAAGTAGGGATTGGCGTGGGCTGTTGGGCTCATGGCCTCATCGAGCTGGTTACCCTCGCTAGCGACAGTGTGTGCGCGAAGTCGGCCGACAGTATTACTGAAGAACTTTGTGTGGCGCGAGGGCTTGGGGCTGGCCATGTGGTCGCCGGCGGCGCCCGTGTTGATGGTGGTGCCGGCGGAGGAGGCGCCTGAGGGCGCGGCATTCTTGTCCTTGTCGCCGGCCTGGCTGTTGATGCGAAAGAAGCTGCGTAATCGGTGGCTCACCGCGCCGGAGGCGCCGTTGGAATTTTTGGGAGGCATGATGAGGAACGGGAAGGGACGCGGAGCGAGGAGATTTGCTTGATCTTGAACGGGAGTAAGGAGGATCACAACGTCGATGCCATGGTTTTCCGTGGAATGAGGGAGAAGATGACAATGGGGTGGCCGTGATGCTGCGAGTCGGAGCGGTAGCGGGAGGGATTGAGGATTGAGGCTTCAAGGGACAGGGAAGAGAAGAGGAACGGGAAGCCGATGATGCCAGCGAGAGGGGACAGCGGAGAGTGGAGATGGGACGGCATTAGTGCATCCTGCTTGCCTGGCTCGCACAGCCAGCAGGCACCAAGCCAAGATTGGTGATTCGGCGGTCGGGGACGGACGGACGGCGCCTGGCTCCAGTCCAGTTGCTGAGCAATCAAGGCTGATGGCGCTAGATAAAACAGCGCTGTGCTAAAACAGCGCTGTGCTAAAACAGCAACTCAGTTCCAGGCTCCGTTGACCTGAAGCTGGTAGGCAAATACAGTGGACACTGACGGACAGTTCGCTGTACGGTACTAAGCCTCTGGAGGCTTGGGGGCTTAGAGGCTTTTAGAGGCTTGGAGCCTGTCACGTCCCGGGCTGGGGTTGGCCCACTGGTCCAGTCGTCCAACAGTAAATCACCATCAGTGTCATCAGCATTGACTTTTATTAGGTAGCAAGCCGTCAGTGGGTTATGTTGATGCATTGAATGTTACCTTGAATAGGTCTAGTACTGGGGAGCGGCAGAATATGATGGCATTGATTATTCACCTTGGCGGGACATGGGGTGGGTGCTTGCCTTGAGCTACTATCATGAGTACTAAACTACCTGTATGTAGGTGCCTACTAACCAAACGCCGGAGCTGTAAGACAAGGCGCTACTGGAGCAAGCTGAGCCTCGCAGCGAGACAACTCTTTGCGAATCAACAAAAAAATAGAAGCAGAGAAGGAAGAAAGACAACTTTCACACTGCGTCAGGAGCCGTCCGTGGAGTCCAACTCTGGCATGTCACTGACCAACGATGGGGTTCATCACCCTGGTACAACTGTACGACTCGGCAGTGCTCAATACCCTAAATACAATAGTTACCAGTTCAACGTGGCATCTGCTGCTCTCGTCATCACTGACTCAATAACTAGTACCACAACTACTTACCTGTACCTGAGTACCCAGGCAATGGTCCTGCTTTGAAATACAACACACCAGCCGCCTCAACCCCTATTCTTCTCATGATCGTAGACAAGTCGAGTAAAGTATAGCAACTGATTTGATCGAGCTAAACTCAGTTTTACAATCTGGGCTCATTACCGATCATGATCGTTTACAGCGAGCTGCTACAAGGTACACTGTCTGACCAATATGTCATCGAACCCTTTTCTCTTCCTCAACTCACCATAGCGACCAACAATATGGATAGTCGCTCCCTGCAATCTGCACTGCCTCCTTGGTCCCAATTAAGCAACCGCCTTTGCCGCTTTCCACATCGTCTTGTTTGCTTATTGACCGGCGTAGAGATATCGCTATAGACCACCATGATCATATTAACACCGTACATAGGTATGCTTGGCCAGAGGAAAGAATCCCTGCCCGCCCGCGAAGGCCTCTACTGCTACAGAATGCCCGGTTTCTTCTTCATCTGGTCTTTTTTTCCTTTCATTAACAAAGTAGCTGTATATTCTTAGTTCTTTCATTTGGGTATGTACACATAGTGAGAGCCCTTCGAAGGGCAACGCCTCGTCTGCTAAACCCGTTCGGCTTCCATTTACTCCTCCCGTCATCCCAACCCACAACAATGTGTGCGTCGCAAGCGCCAGCTAGTCTCCGAGCCTCGCCCGGGGGAAATGGCGCTAGTTTAATATTATTAAGGTAAGTAATGTTAGCCTGGGATTCCCCCTCCAGGCCCTACTTTCGTCTAGTAGGTATGCATTATTCGCGCTGTCGCGTCTCCCATGAATTCCGCCACCCTTGCCCATACCGTCATCTCGTCTATATAATAAGGTAACCCATGTTTCACTTGTTGGTTGTATCCATTGCAACGTCGGCTATTAGTTATACCCCAGCCATGCTGGCCATCGCAGCTGCGTCTATGCGCTCCAAAGTCTGCCGGCGGGACTGCCTTCCAAAACCTCTAACATTCGTACTTTGTTAAAAGTGATGATTGCGCCCTTGGTCCGCCAAGTCTGTACCACGCCAATTGCTTCTATCGAATCCGAAATGCTATGGAGAATATTAGTTAGCCTCCGTCACCGAGCTACGTGGCCCCCTGTCTTTGAGCTGCGACAGCCGAATTGCGTGGCTCAGCCTTGCGACGATTTCAAAAGTTCCCAACTACATCTCCGTATTGGTTCCTGGCCAGCCACTTGACGCGTCGGAATTTGCTCTAGTTGTTTCGTCTTTACTTGCACGGCAAGCGGCACTTTTCTTCCAGCCCAGCTAGATTGCATCCAGAGCCCGCCATGGCCACCCTCCAGGTCTTGGGCTAATTATAGTAGGTTTAGAGTCTCGAGTGACTGTGTCTTACATGCCCTTGTTCCCTTGAATTTGGCCCTGGCGCTGCCAAGTATGGTGAAAAACTCCGTTGTAAAACTTCGGGCATCCATCTAAGCCCGATCCATCTGATAATAAAGCGCCAAACGCCCAACTGCAAAACGCTAGATACACTACAGCCCTGATCCCATCTCCTCGTCTTCAGATGCATCCGACGACTCTGATTCTAAATTTTCATCTCGTCGCATAATGAGGTTTTTTAGTTTCCTCCTATTCGCCCGGTGCGTCAAACGGTCTTCCGTTACCTGGTCCCGCGTCGACGGCGTCACCTGGTTGCCATCCTTGTCCTTCAAAAAGTCGGGTATCGTCTCCTTGTCTTCCTCCGGCCTGATACTCCAGTTCCAGCTGTTTCTTGGCCCGTCGCCAACGTGCCAAGCCATGGGAACCAGGTGAGCCTGCTCGACGTGCTTGACCAACGCCGCGCGGTCAGCATGCTGGGTGACTCCTTTCCCAGCGCACGTACCCCACAGGCAGCACTGGTGCTTTTGAGGCTTGAGGTGGACTGCTTGGACATGTCGACGAAGTGTATCCATGTTGTGCAAGTCCGCTTTGCAGCAGGACCATTCGCACAAGAAACCCAAATAAGTTGGCTTCAGCGCAAGATAGAGCTCCCTCGGCGGCGGCGAATCAGGCCGCGTGACAGTCTTGCGACGACGCTTCAGCGAGTAGTTTGGAACGTGCTTTTGCCTGCCAGATCGCCCGCCACGCACAGCTGTACTAGATCCCACACTGCCTCGCACGTCGCCATATGCCACGCTGGCTCTCCACCCCTTGGGGCGGCCTCTCTTCTTGCGCGGCGGTCCATCACTTGTAGAGGCAGCTTCTAGGCTCATGTTAGCCGCTGTGTTCTGCTGCAATATGAGCGACTTCTGCTTTTTACCTTGTATCGTCACCTCGTATTCTGCGTACTCATGCGCCTTGATTGACGACGGTCTCAGTACCACGGATACTGGTGCCGGTGCCGATAACGATGGTCTTTTGTGCATGGACTGTGCAGCAGGAAGCCCCGCTGGGCGCGCTTTCTGGACCTCTGCATTATGATACACCAGGGTTGGCACGATGGCGTGTCGTGATGGCTCCTCGACATCAGGCTCAGGACGCGCGAGCTTGGTGGGCGTCGCGTGTGCTCCTGGGAACGGCGCGTAGTGTTCATCTAGGTCCATGGCGGCGCCACCGGCATCGCGCCCCGTGAGTCACGCAAGTCCCGATACGAATTCAGGTAGGGAAACTGTGTGAAAAGATACCCCGTAGCTCACACAATGGGAATCGAGCTGTTCGGCCGGCGCCACAAACCAGGCAAAACAAGGAAGCGTGATCGTTGAAGGTGCTATCCGTAGAGTAGGGGGCTAAAAGTCGCCCCAACATGACACTCACTATCTTATAATGATTAATAGTGGGGCGTTTAGACTAGCCAGAATAGTTTAAAGCTTTAAAAGGGATAGTTTTCAGGGATATACATTTTTTATTTTCTTAGAGAGTTCACAGAAAGAGGCGTGTATTAAATTATGATATCTTAATAGAGTAGAGTTTTTATTAACATATTTATACTATCTATTCTATCTATTCTAAATATATCCCCTTTAATTCCTAAAGATCTTTAAAAAGAATATATAGGTTTAACTCTTTAAATTACTCAATTTAACAGGAAGTAAAACTTCAATTCTTCATTCAGAGTACTAGAATAACAGTTTATAGCTATTCAATATAGGGGTAATAAATTGCTATTTTATAAACTTGATGTGATTTGTTTAGGCTAGGCCGGGGGGGGGGCTTCACGCCCGCCGAGCACCAGTCGCAGCAGTTCCTTTTGGCCCTATGAAAATCCACTTCCTGGCAGGGCTAACTGGGAGCCTTAACATCAAAACAGCCAATTGCCTCAATTTATCCACACCGGCCAACCTCGATCGATTACTGGCTGTGTACTAACTTGATCATCGTCTTACTCTCCGAGCCGTGCGCCCGGTCGGCCGGTATGACTCGACGGCAGCCATCTCGTCTCTGGCGGGGCTCAGCTTGCGTTTGCAGTGCAGCCGCGCTGGAAACCACAGCCAGCGGTTCATCTTCCTCAACAAGGGGACCAATGTCTGCAACAGAGTGACAGAATCCAGGATCCGGTTATCAATCGGGGCCATGGAGAATCCAACGGTCCCGCCAAACTGGCCGTGAGACCGCGACCGCCACCGTGCAAGGGAAGCTGTTGCCTGCTCGCAGGCTGCCATGGCGCGGGCGGGAACCGGGTACGCCATGCGAGGGATCCCGAGTCACTCTAGCACGACGAGTCACCACACACGCACGCTTGCACCAGGCTGACGCCAGACTATACGTGTCAATAATGACCTTGACGTTCTCGGCACACCTTTGCAGACCGCCAACCAAGCCCGCATCGCATGCTCACAGTCATTGGCGTTGCTGTCATATGCCAGCCAGTATCGCTCGACGGCGGCCCGAGGAGTGCCCCGTTTTCTCTGGGCAGACCTCCATCCAGCAATAGCAACCCAAGTGCCGGATCAAGTTATTAAGCGCTTTATTTGTCTTCGATCGGCCCCAGTATGAGGCTGCGCCAGGTTTATGGATGCCTGCCCTGCCGGACTCCGAGCCTACCAAGGTAATAATAACCGTAGAGGCCCCAGGCATCTCTTTTCATTGTCCCTCTTCATGTTCCTCCCATCAGCGTCTTTGAATGAAGCCGTACGCCATGCAAAAGAAATACTACCCGGTTCTCTCCCTCAGAATCCGGCCAAACTTCACACCAGAGGGCGACGTTTCGCACCTCTCGGTCACGTATACCATACCCAAGTCAGCCCTGGCCGGCTCAAATCCTCACTTGAGCTATACGACTTGGTTTGGCAACTTTGCCGCTCATCGCTATTCAGAGTCCGACATATTTGCGACGGATACTGTCGGGCGCCTGCCATTCATATTCGTCGACGAAACTAGCACCTTGCAACAATGGCGCCTCGGCAGAGATCCAGTCAGCGACTTGACCATGAAAATGGACGTCTTTCCTCGCAAAGTTGATATCCATACTGCACCCGGTCCAAGAGTCGATTTGCGTCTTGACCAGGGAGGACTTGTCGGCACAGGTGGCTGGTTTTTGCCTCAAGTAGTTCAAGGCAGCTTTTTTACCCATGCTGTAAGCTGGGATCTGTCTGTGGCACCACCAAGGACACGCACTGTCTGGACTTATGGAGAGGGCCCTTTCCGGGTCGAACAAGTTGGCACAGTCGACACCTTTACGCGCTCTGTTTTCATGGTTGGACCTATCCAAAGCTCCCCTCCTGCGCCGCAACTGCACTCTTCGCCTAGCACTTGTGCTACCTACTGGTTTGGCAACCTTCCACCAGTTCTTCAACGCCTCAGAGGTTTCAACACAAAACTATACACGCCAATGGCAGAATTTTTCCAAGACTTGGATGGCTCATATCGCGTCTTTATCCGAACCTCTCCTCGAGGCTGGGGAGGGTCAAGCTTTCTCGGCAGCTATATCCTTGAATACAGTGACTCCATCTTGGAAGCTGCAGACGAAGAGGTCATAGGCCTTCTAGCACATGAAATGGTACACAGCTTCACAGCTTTGAGCAATGAGGACAATGGCGAGGAGAACGCCTGGTTCGTTGAGGGCAAGCGATGACACCCTCGTATTCCTTGTGGAGGCGTTGACTAACAACTTGTTGCCAGGTATTGCCGATTACTACGCAACCTTCCTACCGTATCGCTTCGGCCTCGTCCCTCCATCCTACGTAACTACGAGGGTGAACGCTAGCTTGTACAGATACTATGCGAATCCAGAAATTCACATTTCCATGGATGATGCATTGAAGTATTTTTTTACATCATGGTATTCCGAGTGGATACCGTATGATCGTGGGTTTGTGTATCTCTTGTTGGTAGATGATCAGTTGCGACGCCTGCCTGGTGAGCCAGATTCGAATTCCTCGGGTCTTTTCGACCGCATCATACTTGATCTCTCGTCCCGGTGGCGGCGAGGCGAAAAGGTGCAGCAGAAAGATTGGCTCGCGAGTATTGGGTACTATTTGCATGGCAGAGTCGACTGCGCCGCTCAGCTGGAGGCCGTCTTTGCTGGCAGACCAAGCATCAACCTGGCAGGCCGGCGTGTGGGATCGACGAGGAATGTGCTTCGCGAAACGAGGCAACCCGTCATCCAGTTTGGATACAGCAGGCTGTCAGTGTCGAGACGTATCGTTGAAGGTCTTGTGCCCGGGTCACATGCAGAGCGTGCTGGATTGCGCAATGGCGACGTGATTATACGAACAGGGTCGACTACTGAAGCTGCACAAGATCCGCTGGCGAAATACTTTGTGGTTGTAAGCAGGGATAGGGAAGAGTTGTTTATTGAGTACTCTCCGCGCGAGGACCGAGAAGTGCCATGTTGGTTGTTGGAAAGTTTCAAGGAGGACATTATACCCGCAAGCTTCATTCGCTAGTCACCGGAAGTCGCCAATTTGAGGCCCCGCGGGTTCGTCAACATCGGCTTTTTTTAACACTTTATTTATTCTATACTCATCTCATGATAATTCATAATATCAAATCAGCTCACTATTATTCAATTTGGCCCCAAGTGATTTACCTTGGATGAAAGAGCTGCTGTACCTTGCAGATCGAACACTTCAGCTGAAGTGGGCAAGTGGGCTTGGCTGATCACATTCAGCCTCGCCGCCGTTATTCCCGTCGGGTCGGGTCTCACACATCATCTGAACTTTTCTCAGTTTTCGGAGGGGGGGGAGAGGTCGCAAGCTGCCTTTTCCAACATCCCTTCCCTCCTTACTCGAACATCGCGGCGGAGCAGAGATCAGGCTGCCGATGGACACGGCTCCCGTTCCGGATGAGCCGCGACCCCGGCCGCGTGCGAGAGCACGCTGCACATCGTGAGCAACATGGCGCAGCTGTACGCGACGGCAGGGAAACGTAGCCGCCGCGCAGACGCGGTAGCCAAAAGCACTCCTGCTGTGCGCGCAGACGTTTGGTCGGCACCACGCCACGACCAGAGGCCGCAAGGCGCAGACAATGATGAGAGATCTGGCCGCGCGTATGGAGACTTGAGAAGAGGAGAGTGGAGTGGGTATATGGCAATCCGGGGCTATTGGTGAATAAAAAGACATTGTACCGGAAAATTGACGTGATCAAGAGTATTCCATGACACATCGTGTAAGTGCATTCGCGGCGTCTCGCCTGCTTACATCAGGCACTGAGATGTCTTTTCGCATTGCAGCCTGAAATATTAATTACTTTATGTATACAGTAATTGCACACATATTTTGAAGTATTCATGTCGAATTGTATCATAAGTAGTGGTATTCAAGTACACTTCGACATCAATGACATCGCGACATTGCGGGGAAAGTCTAGCTTAAACCGGAGGCAGCATGGCATGGGAGTGACCACGACCAAACAACGACAGTAAGGAGGACGGACTGACAATAAAATAACTACGATAGGGTTATTGAAGACTAGTAATATACTGATGAGGGCTAAATCAAAAGGCGCTGTTTCAAGTACAGTTGGTCATTGACAGCTGCTTTGTTTCGTCACCATGGTGAGGGGACTGTTAGAGTCATCAAGCCCCGATCAACTATTTCGGGGATAGGAGACGTAGCAGAGCGAATGATTAGCAGCAGCACATTTATCAGCAAAAATGGCACAAGACACCTTCAGGATGGCTCCATCCAGGCAGGTGCTGGTCTGGCGCCATTTGTCGTCATCGAGCATTTGTAAGCACCGTGCATGCGCCGTCACCTTGCTACATGTATATACAAGAAGGCCCCCCTTCCGAGCTATTCAGTCCAGTTTCATCTTTGGCAACCATTCGACCCGTGCCTCAACAAGTTTTCAATCTCCACCATCATGGCCACCCCCACATTCTACGCCGTCGTCGTCGGCGTCGGCTCCGGCACCGGCGCCTCGGTCGCGCGGCTCTTTGCCCGGGGCTACCCGATCGCGCTGCTCGCGCGCAAAGAGTCGAGCTACGCGCCCGTCGTCGCGGCCATCACCCAGGCCGGCGGCACCGCGCTCGGCATCAGCACCGACGTGTCCGACGCGCAGTCCCTCGACGCCGCCTTTGCGCGCGTCGCGCGCGAGTGGCCCCAGGCAAGGCTCGCCGCCGCCGTGTACAACGCCGAGGCGGGCTTCTCCTACAAGCCCTTTCTGGAGCTGGCCCCCGAGGATCTGGACCGAGCCCTGAGCACTGGCGCGTAAGTCGTTTATTCCGTCCCTTTGTTCTCTCTTCGTGTTGGCTAAACGTTTGGCGGGGGATATACAGCAAGGGCCTGTTCTACTTTGCGCAAAAGACGCTCCCGCTGCTTCTCAAGGCCGGCGAGGAAGAGGTCGCCGCCAAGTACCCGCCGACGCTCATCGTCACGGGCGCGACGGCGGCGCTGCGCGGGAGCGCCAAGTTTGCCGCGTTTGCGGCGGGCAAGTTTGCGCAGCGCGCCATCACGCAGTCGCTCGCGCGCGAGTTTGGCCCCCGCGGCGTGCATGTCGCCTACACCATCATTGATGGCAGCATCGACACGCCGTGGGGCAAGGACCGTGTGGCCAACGGCGGCGTGGCTGATGGCAAGATTAGCCCCGATGCTGTGAGTCATCTGTCCCTGTTTACTTTTCTGTCAGACCAAGCGACTAACACCAGGGCTAGATTGCCGAGAGCTACTGGTATCTGCACACACAGCCCAGATCGGCATTTACACAGGAGTTGGATCTGCGTCCATCCGTAGAAAAGTTCTGATGTGGCTACAGTCCTAATAATACACACGATAAACAATATTCAACCAAAAACGTCCAATTTATGATGACCACGTAATGTCGATGCAACTAATGACAGCAATCTCTAAACCTCCGTCTCAACGTCTGGCTTACGGCCGTCCAGAGCGGTCATGTTCTTGACCTTGCGTGCGAGATACTTGACCTCATCCTTGGCAAACTGCACGTTGCGCATCGGTCGCCACTGCATCAGCCCGCGCTGCTTGCGGTGCAAATCACGGCTGTTCTCGCGGTACTCCTTGATCGCCGAGAGTGGTCCGTGGCTCTTCTTCGACGCATCGCTCACGCCCGTGGCGGCTGTCTCAGTGGTCTCGAGTGACACACGGCCGTCGGCAGTATCATTCAAGCTGCTTCGTGTTGCGTTGGCGGACTGAAGATCCCCTCCTCTTCCTAGTGACGCGTCCGTGGCGGGGCCGGAGCTACCACTAGTTTCCTCATCGCTGTCCGCATCGTCGTCGGCCTCATACTCGTCGGGTACATCGTCATCTCCGTCGCCATGTTTCCTACCGGCCATTGCCCGAGAAGGGTCATCGCCAAAGGCGTTAGTCCAGTCGGTGCCGTCCTTGGCCAGCCACCTCTTGCGCTCTCGATCGGTAGCTTGCGCGAGAACGTCGCGGCCTTGTGTTAACGAGTTATCATGAAGCTCCTGAGTCAGCGGTGGCACCTCCGTCTTGACTTCCTTTTCACGAACACCTTCCGCAAAGCATGCCTCCCATGTTTCAATGGTCTCTCGCGAGTCGTTGTCGCTGACGAAGCGGATGTGGTCGGAGTCTGTGCCTGGCGAGAAGCGGCCGCGAAATTTGACGCGACCGATTTCTTCAATGTCGAGATCGGGAACCTCTTTGAAGTTTTCTTCGGTAATGTAGTTTTGAGCAAGACGCAGGGAATTGTTGCACTTCCACAGAGGCACGTCAAACTCTTGCTCGTCAGAGTCCTTCAGGTCCTTTAGCCAAATGGCAGCAAACCCTTCCGAATGGCGCTTTCCCGTGGGGTGGAATTCGAGGAATACAGGCGATCTGTATCGGTGGCGCACAGGCAGGCGGATTTCGTGGCTGTTCTCGTTACCACTCACGTCAAACGTCATGTTGTCGCCGACTCTGGCTGAGCACGAGCGCCGGACACTGGCCGTCGAACCACCTGTGCGAAAGCGTAGCTTGGCCTTTGACGACGGCGCGTAGCCCACTGTCTCAATCTTGTCGGATGTAAATTCAAAAGTACCAATCTCCCAGCCCATTTCTGGTGGCGGTAGGCGCAGCTCCACCGACTTGAACAAGAGCGAGATACGGGCGCGACCAAATCCTATGCCGCCATCGAGAGGGTACCATCGAGTGACTTCGCTGCTTGTTTGTAGAATATCCGAGACCTTGAGAGGAACCACCCCGATGAGAGGGTCGTGCTGTCGATGGCGGGAGTCGCGAACGGCAACGGTTACGATCGCGGAACGCCAATCACGAACAAACTTCTCAGTACCAGCATTGAAAATGGGCTGCGAGGATACAACCTTGGTACGCGTCTTGTACGCCAAATCGTCGTTGATGAGAATCGTGCAATATGAGCTAGGAAGCTTCTTGCTTTCGGCCTCCTTCACTTCGCCGGCCTCGGGACGAGCGGGCTCGTATTCCTTGCCCTTGCGGTTCCCGTCCGAGCCGCGGACGTTGGCTAGTTCAAGGCCGACAATTTGATGTACAACAACACTGAGGATACCCGAGGGCCAGAGCGGATCAGGTGGTGTGACCAGAGCTGCGTCTTCTTCAGAAGTCTGGGGTACGGCGTTTTGGCGCTCCGCAGTCTGTGGCTTGTCTTTTACCTCTTCAGGCAGATTCGGGTTCTGCTCGTCCGTTCGTAGAGCCTTGCGGAAAAGAGTCTTGCCAAAGAAGCCTACCTCCCAATGCAGCTCACCCGGCATGCTGCTTTCCGCGTTCATTCCCTTGAGCTTGGAAACTTGGGGGAAGAACTTCCCAGGGTGCTGGATGAGCTCTTGGATACTCAGCTCAACCTTGCCTACAACATCGTCGGCGGAGGATCTGTCGCTGTCCCAGAGTTCCACGGAGAGCTGTTCGTCTGCCTGAATGATGTCAGGTGTGACCAAGAGGCCGCAGCTCTCTCCAAAATATGGGTTCAGATCATCCTGAATTACGCGAGTGCAGAATTGTGGCTTGGAGAATTTGCTCCAGCAGATGGTTATGTACGGGTCTGAGCCGCCACCTTTGCTGCCGCGTTGATCCTGTTTGCTGAGATCCACTGCCTTGTGGATGCGGATATACAAAACACCCATGGCGATGGTATCCTTTTTGATGTCGTCGCCCGTGAGCATGCTGCTAACATCGAGCGTCAAGCTTTTCGGCGCGACGTACATGGAGGCCGCCGCCGAGATAGCCCAGTTGACAAAGTTGGAAATCAGAGGCAAGTTGAGAATATTAACGCCGGTCTGGATCATGGGAGTGCATCCAGCCTGAACCTTGGGGACGCCCATGAGAGTGACTGTCATGGTCTTGAGGAATGGCGGGTCCGGTGTAAGCTGCAGTCGGAGGCGAGCAGTGGCCACCAGACCTTGCAGCTCAACCCAGACAGGCAAAGGAACACCAAAGAGTCCACGAATACCGAGATAAAAGACAAGCTGCATGCCCATGTTGCGAGCCTTGGAGGCAACGTCCTGGCCTGAGGGCTTTGCGTGATACGCAACAGAAACCTCCATGTTGTAAAACTCGCCAGCCTGCTCCATGGCCGCCATTTCGTTGGGGTCCATGGTCTTTTCGTTTTGCTTTCGGATGTCGGCCTTGATATCCTGGACATGGGAGTCTGGCAGCGCACGCATATTCAGAATTCGAAGGGGGTTGCTGCCTTGATGAATATCAGCGACGCGAATGTTTTCGATGATGCCAGGAACAGACGCCGCCATGACATCTTCTAGGCTACTCAGTTGTTAATTGTTTCCTATTCAATGATGAGACAATGAGCACATAATTAGACTTACGTATCGCCAACAGCAGCAAAGACCTCAGGGTTAATGAGGCCCCAGATTATGCCAATGGCCGTGTTCATCCACTCTACTGACTCGGGAATCAGGTTGACCTTCGCCGTCTCGCCGCGGGCCTGCTCGCTGGACCACTCAACATCACGGCCCTGGCGGATAAGCTCCTTGCACCAGAGAAAGACACCAGCCGAGATGCAGAAACCAAGGGGGACCAGTCCAAGGAGCCTGCCGCCGAAAAGTTTGCCGATAAAGACAACGGCCACAAAGATGCCAATACACAGGCCATTGGCGCGATTCTCGAGGCTCTCAAACATGGGCTCGTAGCTTACGGACGGGGTTTTGTAAAAGAGGACCGACGTCTTTTCGCTACGAATGGGCACGTCCGATGTGGCTCCCTCTTGCACGGGGTCGGGTGGTGCAGAGATATCCATCGTCTCGCGGTACTGCTCACGAGACATGTCCGCGGGCTTGGGAACAGTGGTGTCTTTGCCGAGATTTTCGTTTGGGATCGACATCTGCCACGCCGAACTTAGTCGCTTACTTCTTCAGCCAACAAGTTCAACTCACCTGAGGGTCCTCGGTAGCCTTTTTAAAGTCGATTTTGGCGTCGCGAATCTGCACGTCCTTGCCAGTGACGGGATCACGCACCCAACGAGCGTCCTTGCGTTCAGCCTTCTCGGTTTTCTCGTCGCGTTGCTGGTGCTCCTTGACTTCGCCGGACTGGTCGTTTGGCTGCAGGCGGGCATCAATCTCAGCGTCCCGCTCTTGCTTCTCGCGGTCGAGCTGAGCCATGAATTCCTGGATATTGGGCACGCGATTGCGGCCGGAGTAGTGCTGGCCCGAGGGCACTACATGGTTGGGGTTGTTCATAGTGGCCACACTCGTATATTTGTTATAGAAGAGAGAATGGTCGATAATTGAGCGAGATTGTCAGTTATTCGCTCCACAATGCTTTTTTAGAGGATTTTCGGCATTGGACTCCTGAAGCAGCTTTGTTCGTTTGCTGTTTGGTATCTGGAGTGTCCGTATCAGAAACAGCCAGACCAACATCAACCAGACTAAAATGAGCAGCAAAGAGTTGAAATGGGAAAAAATTTAGGATGGAGGAAAAGAATAGGGGGAATATGAGGAGAGAAAGAAACTTGCCGAGTTTCTCCAGGCATTTCTCAAATTGATGAGCTTGGACAGGTTGAGCTCGTTATCCCATCATCCATGACGTAAATCCAGTGGTCCACAGCCGCTAAAACCGGCAATCCGCATGCTTGTCGGCGGGGCTTCCAGATCGAGCCATCCCTGTACGCCGCTGATGTGGGTTTTCTGTCAGTCTCCAAGGCCAGGTTTCTTTTCATTAAATTATTTTGAAAATCATTTCTGGTCAATTAAATATATACCATACCCAAGCTTTTTTTCCCTTAATTTAAGAATGCTTACACTTTTGAGCCGCTCTCTACATCACCATCCTCCAGGTACAGGTACGTGTTGGATTTTGTGGGGAGAGTCTAACCGTGGCGTTGTAACTGAACAGCAATCAGGGCAAGATTGTCATGCTTGAGCCAAACCTTGTTTGCTTGAGGGGCCAACGGCGTGTCACATCTTGGCTTTTTCAGCTAATCTAGGTTGCTACTTCGATCGGCGGGGTATCTTGCGTAATAGTCTGCAGTCGAGCGACACCGGATGTGGCTGATCGAAATTCGCGGCTACAATATATTAATCTGATGCTTGAATGCCTCAGATGCTCAGCTTAATAACTGAATAGCACTAAAGTGTGCATCTCGGATGTGTTCTTACTCGAGTCAAACGAACCACTGCCCACCGATGCTACATGAACATTCAAGTACTGGACATGGGAACCGGCGCGCGCCGGGATGCGAAACAGGCCAATACGCGGGGAATACTGTCAAGAAATGTACCCGTTCAATTGAATATGGCTCATTATACTGTAAGTAAAGGGGAGGACGGTATTCTTCCGGTGCTCGAGAAGGCCACAGAATCCGGTTCACGCAAGATTACTCTAACTCAGTATTTAGCAATGTCGTTTCGTACCAACTCTTCCGAATTTTCTAATATTAATGTTCAACATATAACTTACTATATCAACTCAACTACATGCCCGCACCCGAACCAACCGGCCGGCCAGTGAACTCACGACGCCCGGAAGCGTACCCTCCTGGGCGGGCCGGCGAGCGCAGCGCCAGAGACTCGAGCTCGTCAGCAGCTCCCAGCTCGCGCACAGCCCCAAGTCGCGAGGTTTGCGCTTCGCATTTGGTGAGGCCCGGTTGCGCGGACGGAAGAGGCGGCCCGCAAGCTGTCGTCAAGGACGCCATCCGCTGTGTGAGCGGCAGCGTGTGCGAAGAGCCGGCTGCCACGGCGCCGTGGTGCACAGTCAGCCGGCGAACCGCCCGACTAGCTCGCTGCTCATCCATCTGCAGGAGAAGGCGCACCACACGGGGCAGCCGATAGAGCGCGTCCATGGATGGCCGCGCTCGGTAGACATCGTAGCTCTCCTCGGCGCCCAACATATGCACTACCTCGGCGACGAGATCCGACGTGCAGGGAGAAGATGCTCCCGGTGTCGAAGAGCCCAAAGTCGAAGACCCCGGCGTCGAGGATCCCGGTGTTGACGATGACCCGTCGTCTGTCAGGCTTCCCTGGGCACCTTCCATGACCGCCATCATCATGCAGAGTGTGTACCTGCCCACGGGAAGCCGCAGTCCCCATGAGCGCTCCCTGTAGCGATCCAGCACATCCGCCGTCGGAGAGCTCGCAAGTACAAACGGCCGCAGGACGCAGAGGAACAGCGGAGGCAGGACGCTTTCGCCGTAGCTCAGAATAGCCCCAATAAGGTGGCTACGGCCCTGGAGCTCGCCTTCCTTGTCCGCGAGAGCGTTCTCGGTGAAGCTGCCAGCGCCGAGCTTGGTCGCACGCTTGGTAAAGTCCAGCACAACAGCGTTGGCGTAACCGTAGATGCCGACGGCACCGGTGAGGTCCTCCCGGAATGGCAGTCCCGCATACGCGCACAATAAGAAGACGACGTACGACGTCATGCCGGCCTCGGCGCGGAGCATGTAGTGCGCCGTCGAATTCCAGTCCCGGAAAACGTCCTTGTCCTTGTCTATCAGTCCCGCGTAGACCAGCTTCTCGCGGTTCTGGAGGAAGACGGCTGCGCGCAGGGCATCTCTGGCGGCGGCCAGCCATTCCGCGGCGTCGTCCCTCCCGTCGCACTCGGTCAGAGAATCGTCCCAGAGCTCGCCCATCTGGCGACCTAGGTACTCGCACGTATCGAGTGACTGCGTGGGACAAAGGAACTCGTCGACGCCTATGCAGAATGCCAGCAACAGCGTCAGCGCCGGCCGGGACGTCGGCGACCCCGGCAGCCACTGTTCCGAGAATTGGACGGCGTCGCGAATCGAGTAGAATTGCTCTGATACGGGGGCCGTCTTTGGAAAACAGCACTCCTCGGCGTGCGATATCATGTCGGCCTCGCCCGCCAGCTCGTCTTCCATCCATTGGTGCGTCAGTTCCACAACGCGGCGGGCCGAATTTTGCAGGTCAAGAGACCCAGACCAGGTCGCAGTGCCGGCCAGTTCGTCAATAAAAGTTTCCCCACCCAGCAACAATCTGGCTGCCCAAGGACCGGTAGCTCGGATAGCTCCCAGCGGTGCCACGCGCGGGTCGAAATGCTCTATGCCCTTGTTCTCAGAGATTGGATTGTCTTCGAGGAGACGTCGAGTATCTCCTCGAAGAAAATTGACGTCGTATCCGACGGTTGAAACGTAGTCTAGAGTGGCTTCGAAATCCTCAGTTCCAGAAGCCGGGGTCAGAGTCGCGCCTGGCATGTTGAGAGTCGACTATCTTCAAGTTCTGCGGGCGCGGAACTTGTGTTTCTCTCGTGAGTAGTGAAGAAGAGGTATATCTCAGCGACAAGTGTTTATGAATTCGAGGGAAAATAGCTTTTAGTCTGAGCAAGACTACAAAAGGTTTTAAGCGTACGCTTCATCAGACCACAACTAACCAATGAAGGGAGATTTTCCCCGATAATAGTAACAATCGAGGCAGACCAATAATACGCTATGTCTGAGAAACCCACGGCCCAGGTCATCAGTTATTACCCTTGACCTGGATGATTGCCGGGAAGCCATCGTACAGCCAGGCCACGAGGTCCCCCTGTCTTAATACAAGGGCAGCACCATACAGTAAATTGCGAGAGGTCAGGCTCCATAACGACTCGAAGCCAAGTGCAAAACCTATATCCGTAAGTATGCTTCCGCTGCTCAGAAGTCTTCGCTCGGAGCCTGATCGATTCTTTTCTAGTCGCGGGATCGATAAGACAACTATATCCGAAACATCTACAGCTTCAAGCTTCATGCTCGCGTCGTCGTTACAAGTCAGGTTCTTGGCTGGACCACAAATGACAGTGCGAAATGACTAGCTCCTGGGTAGCCAAGGGCAGAATTCTCGGCATAGAACCGCAAATATTATACTCTGATCCTCGCACGTTATAACTGTGACGTGATGGTGGTGATCATTTTTGCGGACCGGCGGCCCGCCGAGCATCAGCAAAAATGCGACAGATCGTAATGGCCCACACACACCATTTGCAAATTAAAGAGCTGTCGTCTCTTCATTTGGCATAACTAATGCAAGGCCAACAAATAGAAACATGGTGTCAACGCCAAATTACAGGAAAACCCTTGTTTGGGAGCTGCAGAGCATCGTAGTACCCCAGCACCAGTACGCTGGTTGAATGGCGATCGGGTGTATGCACGGAGCATCCGTACAGAGAGTACAGATTACAGATTACTTGTCACGTCTTTCCCTTCGTACAGTCAGTCCAGGGATGTGATCGAGTACACGTGCCACACACCCGCAGCATTTGTGCGCCCTCTACCAGTACACCCTCTGCGGCTGCGCTTCCATGTACGTGACAAAACGAACAGCCACACAAGGTTCTTCCAAGTCAAAGAAAATAACCAACGAGTAGAGGTCAATGAGACGAATTACAACAGTCAAGAAAACCATAGTGACAACGAAGATGACCAGAATAAGTAAGATGATACTCCGTAGTGTATCAGCGACCGGTGGTTGATTGTGGCGCCTCTACACCCTCTCGCCTGCATGTTCTACATCAGCCTGTTATTAATCTGCGTGCGTCTTCAGCTCACAGAAACATTGGACCCAAGTCAAAAGTTCGCACCATTCTGGGAACATCTATGGCCGCAGCAGTGTAGGCCCAAGTTCCTTGTCTTGACTCCCTAACTGCTTGTCTTGACCCGTCACTACCGCACTATAACTAGTCGTGGTCATGTTCGTCTCACAACCCAGATGTTTCCTTCTTGCGTCAGACAATACTCTTTGAGGCTTGCCCTTCAGTCATCCCCCATCCCAAAACTAGTCTACTGGCTGCGCTTATCATGGACAACCTACCTCGCCTGGATGTTATCTGGGCGAAGCCTTGGCTTCTGCTCTCGGCTGCCTTGCTCAGTCTGCTGGTCATCAAACGACTATTTTTTCAAGGCAGGAGCGATGGCTATGTGCTTCCACCCGGTCCCAAGCGCCTTCCTCTCATTGGCAATCTACTGGACATGCAACCCCAGGAGGGGCAGCCGGAATTTCAACACTGGCTTAGCCACAGAGAACAGTTTGGTCCTATGAGCTCCGTTGGCATCATGGGACAAAACGTGATTCTCCTTCACGATCGAGAGGCGGCCCGATTTCTCCTGGAGAAGCGCTCCAAGAGTACATCGTCGCGACCGCACATGGAGTTTGGCCACAACATGTGCGGCTTCAAAAACCTGCTATCGGTGCAGAAATATGGCACCAGCTACGTCCGGCGTCGGCGGCTTGTTCACCAGTATCTCGGTACTCAGGTAGCGTCAGATCGGTATCACAGTCTCCAGGAAGTAAAGTCTGAAAAGCTGCTCCAGCGGGTGCTGGAGTCGCCCGAGGCGCTGATGGATCACCTCCAAGGGTACGTGACTATGCAGTATAGTTGCCTCTGAAGGCGCTTCAAGAGACTCGGAAGCATCGTCAAAGTGTCCACCTTCTAATCAAACAATTGTGCAGCTTTTCGGCCAGCGTCATTCTCGACGCTATATATGGCTACACGCTTGAGTCTACCGGCAGCCTCGACCCGCTTGTCGAGCTTATACAGCGCATGCTCGACAATGCCACGAAAGCCTTTCTGCCCACCGCATGGTTCGTTGATGTCGTGCCGGCGATGCGGTACATTCCTGGCTGGTTTCCGGGTGCTTCTTTTGTGCGGACGGCCAAGAAGTGGAAGCAGACATGCGAGGATGCCGCCAACACGCCCCTCGCCTTTGTCAAGAAGCAGATGCAGAGCGGCACCCATCGCCCGTCGTACGTCTCCAACATTTTGGAGAATATCGGCAGCACAGAGAACGGGGGCGATGACGCCGACGGCAAGCCTACCAAGGAGCCTGCTAACGAGGAGGACATCAAGTGGACTGCCGCCACCATGTATGGCGCTGGGGTGGAGACGACGTCGTCGTCTCTGGACGTCTTTGTACTGGCGATGATCTTGTTTCCAGACGTGCAGCGCACAGCGCAGCAGGAGATTGACAGGGTCGTCGGCACAGGGCGTCTCCCAACCTTTCAGGACCGAGCCAGCCTGCCGTACACGGACAGTCTTGTCACTGAAATCCTCCGGTGGTTCCCGGTGCTGCCCATGGGCCTTCCGCACATGGCGCAGGAAGACATCGTCTACAAGCAGTACCTTATCCCCAAGGGTTCATACCTCCTCCCAGCGGCATGGTGGTTCTGCCACGACCCAGAGTTCTACGCGGATCCCGAGAAATTCGACCCAGAACGATACATCGCGCCGCGCAGCGAACCGGATCCCAGAGGTGTCATTTTCGGCTTCGGTCGCCGAATCTGCCCTGGTAGGTACTTTGCCGACTCCAACTTGTTCATTGTCACTGCGCGCCTTCTGGCCGCTTTCAAAATGAGTGCCGGCGTGGATGAGCAAGGGCGCGAGAGGGTGGCTAAGCTTGGGTATACCATTTCGCTCACAACCCGTCCAGTCAAGTTTCCGGTCAGCATTGCCCCGAGAAGTGACCAGCACGCCGCACTGGTCCGGGGCATTTCGACCACTGTTTCTCAGTAGCAAAGTGCGCAACAAGCTTACTTCAGATTGATCTATCGTAACGAATAAATGACTTGGCAGTTTTCAGTATCCCTAGTTGTTCACATATGTGTCTGTTCAGCTCGTCAATCAAATGCAAAGTCCACTGAAGGTACTGAGAGCGAGGTCACGTCACGATATCTGCATACAACGGTGCAGCCATCCGAGTCCAGCCCAGAGAATCGATCACATGTATCCTGCAGTGTGCCATCCGTTTCTGCAATATATCACCGGTCTAGAATCCCTGGAGTAGGGCGCGCCGATCGGGTTCAGCTGGCGGTGGAGAAATGTCTGCATGGCGCTCTGCAACCGCGTGACAACACACGGTCCAGCATGTCGTTGGCACTCAAAGAACGGTGTCCGACTTGGTGGTGGGTGAGATGTTCGTGCCGCTTGCAAGAATGAAGCTTCCTGGCAGTCGAGGATGCATGACACATGCAGCCGGTACGCCATGGAACGGCTTGTGGCCAACCAGTCACTTTTACAAGTCACACTGGCACCCAGGAATTTTGTAACCAAGATGGGACAGCAGGCTGCGACTGGGGAAGTGGGTGGTGCACTTCGATTGCGAGTAGTCACACCAACTTGCGCTCATGAGGCCGGTCCGCGCATCCCGATCGAACCTTGGGCGATAGTCAGCGTCGACAGAGTAGCAAAGATGACCTTGCCAGCAAATGAGATATACCGTTTCGAGTTATAATCATAAGCTGTTATTATAAGAATGAGGAGTAGTATGTATATAGAATTCAAGCAAAACAAAAATAACAATGCTGGCCCAATTCCGAAAAAAACGCCAAGTCACCGAGCCCACAGGTCCGTATCCAACGCTTGACTGGCATACACAGCTCGCGCATCGTGGCTAGTCTAGTAGTCTTTTACACTTCATATTCCGTTTCTCTTCGTTAAACCTGCAGCGTTCTGCCGTTTGCTTCATTTTCGGTTCTGGGGGCTGACGACATGACGGCTGGATCGGTGACGGTGTTATCCTTCTCGGCCGGGAACTCGGAATCCTCCTCATCATGGGGGATGTCAGGGGGCGCAGAGAATGTCGGGGCAACCTTGCTCCTGCCACGAATGTCGGCTCCCCATTTGTAAAAGATAAAGGGAATAGGTGCCAGCAGCAGGGCAACACAGCCAAGCAGCGTGCCCGCCCACTGGATACCAAGTCCCTGGAACATCTGACGGGCAAAGAGCGGAAATCCGGCACCGCAGAGAGATCGCAAAAAGGTGTTGCCAGCAATAGCAGAGGCAGCAAACATGAGATAGGCGTCGACGAGATAGTTGAGGGCCTGAAGGAAAATAGACATCAGGCCAAAACCGGTGAGGAGACCGCTGAGCGTGGGGACGATCCAGTGGATATCGCTTCGGTAACCCGTCCTGTGTACGTGTTAGCGATTGCTTTTGTGATATGGAACTGCCACGGTTGATCTCTACTTACCAGCCAAACCAAAAGATGCCAGCGGCAAAGGCGATACCTCCAGCCATTATGCTGGGTAGTCGCCATTCGGGGATAGGAAGACCGTTGTTGGCTGCCAGTTTCCGGTTGTACCACGGCTGCTGCAAAATGACGGTAGCACCAGCCAGCAACTGTCCAATAATCATGCCGAAAAAGGTCAGACCGGAAACGCCGAGGCTAAAGCCATAGACACCAACAAAGACCAGGGGGTAGGCGGAGAAGAATAGGTAGAGGATGCCGTAGATGAAGCTCATGTAAATCGAGAGGAGCAAGATGATCGGTTCGGTAAAGAGCAGTCGCAGGGGACGGGTCAAGTTCTTGGAGAGGAGCTCCTTCAGGTCAACTTCGATTTCCTCCTGCTTGGCGTGAATGCCCCAGTTCTTAGTGCGGCGTCGCAGGTCAGCGGCCTTGGAGATGAGCACAACAGGCGCGTACGTCTCCTCGAGGAAGAACAAGTCGAGGATGAAGGCGACACCACCCATGATGGTGGCGAGATATTCGGTCCAGCGCCAGCCCAGGTGAGACTCTACTATGAAGCCACCAATAAAAGGCGCAAACATGGGACCAGTAAAGACGGCCATGGAGAAGATGGTAATGGCAATACCTCTGGATTTGTTATCAAACATGTCGGAGAAGACGGCGGCGACGACGGCAAGGGGGCAAGCACCAAAGAGGCCGCTAAAGAAGCGACAGATGAGAATGGTTTGGATATTCTCGCCAGTGGCGCAGGCAATGGAGAAGACGGTGAAGCCAAACATGGCAATGACAATGGGGAGACGACGGCCGCGCAACTCGGAGAGAGGAGCCCAGATGGTCGGGCCAAAGGCGAAGCCCAGAACGTAAAAGGTGGTGCCGAGGAGGCCAATCTCGGAGCTGACACCGTACTGTTTGGCGACGACCTGTGTGCCGGCGGAGAAGATGGACGACGTGAATGCGGAGGTCATGGTAGTGTACCCAAGCATGGCCGAGGTCAAGAGCTTCTTGCGCAAGGGCCAGTTTTGCGCATGCAGCGGGTCGTTGGGGCCGTCAAACTCGACCACGTACTCCTCCTGGTCGGGCAGCGGCGGGGGGTAGGGCTTGCCGGCGCCAAAGGGGGGCAGAGGCCGGCGAGAGGCGCGGCTAGCGGTGCGGCTTCTGCTGCCGGCCTCGACGCCGACCGTGGTGGCGTGCTGGCTGCGGGCCGTCTGGATGCGGCTGAGGGCGGTGGGATGGCGCTCGAGGTCGTTGATGGTCGATACGCGGCTCATCTGGCGGCGGACGGTCGAACGGGGGCCGAGGCCGCCGCCGGTGGACGAGGCGGTCGAGACGGACGAGGCCGAGAGGACGCGCTCGATCTCATCGCTGGTGCGGCGGTGGTAGTTGGCGGGCGAGGCGTCGCGCTCGGCCTCGACCAGCTCGCGGTCAATATCGTCCATGGCCATGGCGGGCGTTTGTGGTGCCGGTGATCGGCCGCAGGGCGTTTGGTGTGACGACGGGGCCGGCTCTCTGCCGTTGTTATGATGCTGATGTGCAGCCCTTGAACAATATGCTAGGCCGTAGGGGCAGAGCGCCAAAGGAGATTACAAATGAAACAAGATAGCTCTCGATTGATGATGTAGAATCTGGAAACAATGTCGAATGGGAGGAGGGAGGGGGATCGACGGCGAAACGAGTTAGGTAGGGTGCTCCCCGGATGATGATGATGGAGAGACACTGGGCGAACGATGGGGGTGTTCGGTTTTTTTTAGTCTCCTCGTTGATGGCAAGTAACAGTAACTAGCCCAATGCATTTTGTTCGTTAGCCTCGTCTAGAAGAAAAGAAATGAGTAGTAACAAGGTTTTAGTTCGCCTCGCCGTCTCCAGGCGACGCCGCTAGATGGCTGTGGTGGGGCTTTCCGCCGGGACTGGCCAAGGTTCCGATGTTGAAAGTGACAGCCACTTACTTATTATAATGGAATTAATTATAACTAGGTAGTTAGATAGAACGAGGAGAAAAATTGACGAGGACCAACACGAAGCAGTCTGTTTCTGTTTTTCTGAATATGTACCGACAACAGATCTGCGCCTCCATGTGCAACGATGCCCCCGACTATCTATACCTGCCTTCTACCCGACGTCGTCCTCGGGCTTCCGTGGCCCTGTCCGCGGACAATGTACTGGTTCGAAGCCTCCATCATGAACCCCATGGCCCTGTTCCTTTTTTTGATTGGGTCCACTGTTTCGCGGAAAGCAACATCGGCACTGAGCGAAGACGCGAGATGCGCGCCGCCGACTATGGTAACCAGTAACTGCGATTGGTAATCGGACGGCTTGCTCAGCAACCTAATGTTATTATGAGCTTGAAAACTAGTTAGTTGAAAGACCAGCCAGGGTCTTCCATTCCACTTATCCCAAAGTTGTATGCCAAGCCGGATGTCTATCTCGGTGGCTGCTGCGAAACCCGAGTTCGTTAATAATTCTGTTGCATGGAAACACCCTGGCACTCTGAAAAGCCACTGACGACGCCAGGCAGAAAAATCGAGCTCGCTGGGGCCGGCCTGCCCGAACCCGTCCTGACGCCGCAAGGAAATCGGTTCCGTTTTTTTGTGTCTTATGAATAAACCGGCGCCGGCTTCTTATCTCCGAAGTCACAACGCCGCGATGACCCGGCTGCATGTTTCACATTTTAAGGTAGCTGCCAAGGCATTCAGCTGAGGATGGGAAGCGTAACTGAGTACGTGCAGAGGGCTGCACAAGCATAAAAATAAACAACTCTGGGCACGGAGGAAACAAAAATCAGTTTTTGGTGGAGCGTTTCCGACAAGAGGGACATGTGTACTCCAAGCGCATTGGGGCTCCACTTTTCTGGCGCTTCCAGAGGGGTTATATATCAAAACAAAGCACCACTCCTTCGAGCTTCGGCTCATTTGGTCTTTTGAAACGATACAGAGAAGATTAGCATGGCCCCTGCACTAAGGATGACACGCAATCTCAAAGAGAAGCTACAAGTTTTTTTTGCATCTTGTGTTTTTTTTTCTCCTAATTTTCTGTATTTCTCTCGCGGCGCATTCCTCTCTTCTTGCCTTCCTTGGCTTCCGTGGCGCAGCTGGCAAGCGCAATGGCCGATGTGGTGAGGCCGACGGTTCGAGTCAACCACCCGCCTAACCACATCAACTTTTTTTTTCTTCTTCCTCGGCCAGGACAAGTCTGTGTATGTGTATAAAGATCTTATTGATTTATTTTCAACTCCATTTATATCCAGTGTTCAATATGTTTCGTGTTTATCTATCCGCAAGTCTATCTACCGCCTTATACCCCAGCCATGCTCTAGTAGTGCCGTCGACTCTTCCAAGCTCAGCCCTGCCGTCTCCGGATAGATGAACCAGATCAGCACCTCGCCCACGACGCATATGCCTGCATACAGCGCAAATGTCCACGGCGGCGTCAAGAGTTCCATGAGCGGCAGAAACGTCAGCCCAATGACAAAGTTGGCCGACCAATTAGTAGCAGTCGAGATGCCGCTGCCGAGCGAGCGGACCGCCATGGGGAACAGCTCGCTCTGCATCCACGGCACGTTGCCCAAGCCGATGGCGTACGACGCCACATACAGCATGATGCTAAACAGGATGATGCTCGCTGCGCTGGTGCTTCCCTTTACGGGAGGCGCATCATGCGAGGCGCTCGGACTTGCGTCGAGGGCGACGAACGAGAAGCCCAGAGAGGCAAGTAAGAGGCCGCATACCATAAACGGGAGCGAGTACAAAAGTATGCGGCGTCGCCCGACGCGGTCTATGAGTACCAGCGCGATGGCGGTAAATATGAAGTTGGTTACGGCTACGCTAAGAGACGCGAGCGTGGGACTACGAAATCCGACCAGTGTAAATATCGTCGCAGAAAAGTACATGAGCGAGTTCTAAAGCAGTTAGTTTTGCAACGACAGCTTCCACGGTAATTCACGTACGAATCCGCTGAGCTGCTGTAGGCCTTGGAGTAGGCAGGCAATGGCCAGCGCACGTCGATTCTGGCCTACCTTGAGCAGCTCCTCCCAGCCGCCCAGCCAGCTCGGCAACTTGGACTGTCGCGTCCCTCGCAGTCTGCGCGCTTCCCTCTCCGCGCGGACTTCCATCTCGATATCTTTGACAATGGCATCCACGTACTCCCCGTCCCCGGCGTCCGGGCCCTGCGTCTGCCGAATCACCCTCCGCGCGGCCTCTGGCCGGTCCGCTTGGACGAGCCAGCGCGGCGTTTCCGGCATCCACGCAATCAGTGCCGCCTGCACCGCCGCCGGCAGGGCCCCGAGGCCGACCATCCAGCGCCAGCCCGTCTCGGGCGGCGCGCGCGTCGCGAGCAACCAGCCGACGACGTACGCGACGACCTGGCCGGCCGTGATGAGCAGGACGTTAGTCGTGACGAGGCGTCCACGGTGCGCGGCCGGCGCGACCTCGGCAATGTAGAGCGGCACGACGAAGCTGGCGGCGCCAACGCCGGCGCCAATCACGCAGCGCCCGGCGACCATGGCCGCGACCGAGGAGCTGGCCGCCTGCAGCAGCGCGCCGGCGACGAAGAGCGCGTCGGCGTAGAGGATGACGCGCCGGCGGCCGAGGCGGTCGGCGAGGACGGAGGAGAGCGGCGACGCGAGCAGCGCGAACAGCGCGGTGGAGGAGGTGATGATGGACTTGTCGAGCGAGGAGAGCGGGCGGCCAGAGAGCCCTGTGCCGATCGAGACGAGGGTCGCGGAAATGACGCCGGTGTCATCTAGAGAAGGAAAATGGCGGTCAGAATTGTCTAGCTTCCAAAGTTACAAATGCATACAGCCAAAGAGCAAGCCGCTGATGCCGGCCGCAAAGGTCAGGAGCAAGACAAAGGTGCCGAGCCCAGTCTGGTCCGGGGCTTTGTGCCGCAGCGGCAGCGCGTCGCTGCCCCGTCGCGCAATTTCATCGTCGCGTTGCTCTCCGGAAATCAGAGGCTCTTGGGAGTCGTCCATTTCGTGTGCATTTTGCAGCTCTGGTTTGGGAAGGCTGGGTGCTGTCGATGGTGATACCTGGTAGGTACCTGAGTAGAGGGCTGTTTGGTGGAGGTCACTTTCAGGCGACGCCGGCCCTATGGAAACTACTAAGGTCAAACGGCCCGCCGTTACGGATACACATTACCCACTTGCATCGCCTAACTTAGTTACATACCTTCGTTCGATCAGCAACGTAACTTTTTTCTCATTGATGGTTAAGCATGACAATTCAATGGAGTATCTAGGTTGGTACTATTAACCCGCGCTTTATTTCTGTCTCCCTGGTGACGTGTTGAATGCCAGGCAAGGTAGACGAGCGAAGAGATCCTCTCCAGCAGGGAACGATTTTATTTTCTTAAAGCCCACTTTTATTGTTACAAAAAATGTTCTTTATTCAACAGTCGTTATTTTTAATTGAACATTGATCATTTATGCAGACAGTCATTTATACAGACAGTCATTTATGCAGATACTGCTTGCTACATAGGCATGTATTATTCCATAGAGTAAGTCAGTGCTGAAGCCTTGTCCACGGGATCTTTCTATTTACAGTCTCAATCCTTGGTAGACAACGCCACAATGCTAAAATTGGGGTTACCCTCCGAATGGTTTAGAAACTTGCGGATGCCTAGCTCGAGGGCTTTGGGGCTCAATACATCGTCGTCTGGTGGAAGCAGACCCCGGTCCACTGGCCCGTCAGTAGCGCCCTCGAGCTCCCATAGATGGCCATCTTGGCCTTTGATATAGGCGATGAAATGGAGGGCGGGATGATCTTCTGCAGGCGGCGGTACAGAGTCTCCTTTTCGTGCTGCCCGCATGTGAGCCTGCTCCAGCTCCTCGCTGTCGTAGAGGACCCTGGCACGGGGCTCAGGCTGCAGTGGCTTCGCCTCGGCAAACAACCGGTCCAGGAGCGACCCCTTCTGCAAGTATTGTTTCCCTGGGCCGTTCGCGACCGAATGGATCAGTGCATAGAGTCCACAGGCGTTTCCGATTGTTTGGCGAAACCACATGATGGTATCCTCGTCGCCGGCCTTGTTGTAAGTCAGGTCCTCCATGGCCATATCGCTAGCAATGCCGTCTTCTTTGCGTGAAGCGTAGTACATCTGGGCCGGCGTGATAAAGATGAGAGCATGCGCCGGCCGCGGAATCATGGCGAGTAAGTCGGCATCATCGATGCTGTAGACGTCATAGAAGCCCAGCTGCGAGGACAGGCCCAGATCGTGCAGCAGCGACGTGAAGACCTCGGGGTTGTTCTCGAGGGGAATGACTGTCTTGACGCCCGATGGCGATATCCACACTCCTTCAGCTGGCATGACGATTTTTCTCCTCTGACGCGGTACTTTAGAAGTTGTGAAGCACAACCAGGAATTTGATGAATCACTGTATTGTGACGTTGCCGTTTGACAGTTGAGATTGTAGGTGAGTGGGGCCAGGCAGGGGGGACGCATCAGCATCCAGCCTTGGAATATACATAGTTATAGTTAGCAGGGTCATGGAGAAACAATTGGTTCGTCGTGGTTTGATCGAGGTTTTGTCTCTCGCTGCTCTTCTTCCTCTGTTTTTAGCTCTTTGGTGGCACACGGGGCGGGGAGGTCCGTGAACATGATACTCGTCAGAGGATATCACAACCGCCGCTACACGCGGGAGGAGAGTTGCATGATAGATAGCAGCCTTGTTACCAGCTACTCGCCATAGCGTTCCAAGGCGCATCATAGTTAGCTCAGACCGTATATTTTGAGCGAGGAAGCGAAAACAAGAGTTAAAGAAAGAAAAAGAAACGTTCAACTCGGCAAGTAGACGCGACGTTCAGGTGTAGGGTAGTGGCAGAAGCAAAACCGTTGGCACGTGCGGCAGCCAGGGGCCAGAAGCTGGCCCGCTCGCCCACCCAAAACAAGAGGACAGGCCGGCCGTCTTCTCCTGCACCGCCTGGACAAGCCCTCGACACACCATATTGCAGCTCGTGTTCAGAGCCCTGTCATTCGTTTCCACTCTAGCATCCTCCAACGTCCTCCCCAACATCGGCCATGGGATCCTTCGCGCACTTCTAGCACTCTCGATACATAACAAACCAGCGCGTACCCGCCTCCTTCTCCCGCATCGCAACTTGATACACCCAACAAGTTTGCTGCCCGACGAACTCGCATCAGGATCTGGCAGAGCCTCGCCGGCCCGACGCCATCTACAATCACCATCATGCAATCTGGATCTCAAGGCCAACGGGGCTATTCGCACCGGCGCACAGAAGACAACGTTTCGCAACTGATTAACAGCCAGAGTAGACCTATGTCTCCCAACGGACTGCCATCCCGAGCCTCGACAGCTTCTATGAAGTCGTCGCAGAGCGGCAGCACGCGCCGCTCAACTCGCGAGGTTAGTCTTTTCAACTACCCCCGCAAGTGCTCGAGTACTGCGCAATGGGCCAAGAGAAGCCCCCAAGCACTCCAACACTGACCCGGCTGTGATAGACTGGAAGTTCAGGCTCGAGTGTTCCACTGTCGCAAATCGAAAAGAGCGTCACCCATCTTCTCGTCGCCACCAAGCAGCTTCTCGAAACTCTCACTCAATGGTCCCGCGGCCAAGCGACCGACACGCAAGTCTCCGACGTCTATGTCCGTCTAGGCTACGAATTCAATATGGCATGTCGTGCCTTTACCGCCATAAATGTCGACACGTCCGACCTCGGCAATGTTCCTGACCTTCTCCGAAACATTCTCGAAGCCACCCTGAGCCAAGAAGCTAGTGCGGAAAGCCTCGAGCGATACCTGCCGCGTATCAGGGATATCATCATCAATCTGCTCCATGGCTTGAAGCGGAAGCAGCAGCGTCTGCGTCAACGACAGGCTCGAGACAGGGAAGGTGGTACTGACGTCCCGGAGCGCACAACGAGCACCAGCACGGTTACGAGTGGAAGCAGTGGCGGTCTCACCAACATGCTTGATGAGGGCCTCGAATCTGGATACAAACAAGAACAAACTCGCTCAGAGGAGCCTGCGCCGCAAGGGCCTAGCTCTTCGCCCAGTCGTCGTTACAATGGGTCACGAGAACCATCACGCAACCCTGTTCAAACGAACCGCTCTTCACTCCAGAATGCGCCATCAATACCGCCCCCTTATCCAAGCGACGAGGGCCAAATCCCCTTCGCATCCGGCACGTCTGGAGAGATAAATATTGAAGCCTTCCCACCACCGCCGCCACCTCCCCCAGAACCGCAATCAAGCGCACTTGCGGCGCTACAAAAGGGGGGCGATTTGGAGAGACGAGCATCGCGACGCTACTCACAATACCAAATCCAAAAACACCTTGGTGCTGCCAATGCCGTTCCTATGCTGCCGCACCAAAATTCTCCTATACCAAATCGTGGTCGCAAGGAAGCACGAGAATCGATGTATGCAGTCCAAAAACGCGAGTCAGTACGACACAGTCGCCATCCATCGAATCAGTCCAAGTCTGTTCACTCGCCAGCTCCTCCAATAATAACCGAAGAGCGTCGTATGGAAAACAGAAATGGAGTTGATAGCCCAATGGCTCAGACCCCCGAGGATAAATATGCCCCAAGCGCTACCTTGTCCGGCCCGCTCCCTGAGCCTCCACAGTTCGTGGATGACCCAAGAAGAGCGGAACCTGAAACAAAAGCAACGGAGAAGACTGAGCAGTTGCCTACTGGGCTAGAATCAAAGCCCGATTCGTATTTCCAAGTTTCACCACCACCCACCCCGACCAAAGATTTGACTCTGTTCCTGCAGTACAAGTCCAAGGTCAAAAAGATCGTTTTGCCAGAGGGACGAGGCGAGCTCTCTATTGGACGCTTGCAACTTGCATTTATCGAAAAGTTCTCCTGGAACACACAGCACAACGGCACTGATTTGCCAGAAATTTACATCCAAGATCCTGTGTCAGGCATTCGACATGAATTGGAGGACCTTTCAGATGTCAAGGACCGGACTGTTCTTGTACTGAACATAGAAGCTCTTGACGAAGTCAAGCGGCATATCGACGATGGCATTTTAGGGTTGACTAAAATAGTGCAAGATGTCCAGAACAATGTTCAAAGTCAGGGAGCGACTCTACAGCGAGTTTCAGATAGGCAACAGGAAACTGCGGATGAGGTCTCGCGTTTGGCATTCGCGCCATCTGCTGCCGTCCAAGCTGCTGACGGAACAAAAGCGATTGTCAACACTGGACCCAGACTCGGCGCAAGCCATGTCGGGCAAATCCAAACTTTCCGCCGCGACATTGCTGTGTTGCGTCAGACCTATACCAACTTTCAATCTTCAATGGATGCATCCATTGCTGCTGTTCGCCAGAAGGCTGCAAACGTCAAGTCAGTAGCTGCGAGCGCTGCTCAGCCAGATTTAGAAGGGGATGGTGGATATTCGTACGTCACCAATGGGCGCAAGAAGCTTAATGCAGATTCCGATCGCCTAGTTGGCAAGGTGGACGATCTCCAGGACCTCATCGAGGATTTACGAAAAGATGTTGTCCATAGGGGTGTCAAGCCGCTACCGCGCCAGCTCGAGTCTGTCAACAATGATATCAGCTCGCTCACCAGCGCTCTCAAGGCTATGGAAGACTACATGAACGAGGAGAAACCCGTCTGGACCAAGATTTGGGAGAAGGAACTGGAGGATGTGTGCCAGGGCCGTGATGAGTTACGCCTTATGGAGGACTTAATGGTCGATCTGCGTGATGATTTGGAGAAGGCAACAGAAACGTTTGCCCTCGTTGAGCAGGCTATGACGGAGCAGATGAAGGACAGTGGCGCCGGGCCGACCGTGGGGACGTCGCGAATATTCGCCAAGGGTCTGATCAACCTCGGTAACAGCCTTAACCAGAACGAAGCCAAGGAGGGTGTACTAGGCGCAGTGCGCGCACTGCAGCCCAATCATGAAGACCGTCTTGACGCCATCGAGCGGGCTGAGAAACTCCGCCAAAAGGAGCTCCAGAACCGCGGCGGCAATGAGCTCCAGCGTGAGATTGCCAGCTTTGTGGGCGATGGGAAGCTCAAGAAGTCGGGCGGCTTTGAGGAGGTGGAGCGCGCGCGGGTTGCTAAGGACGAGAAGATTCGCCGCGAGGTTTGGGAGCGCATGAACGGCATCATTGCCGAGGTCGAGGGTGAGTACGACGAAGAGGAGGAGGAGGAAGAAGAAGAGCTTGGAGATGGCGAGGAATATGAGGACGCGGAGACGGAGGTGGTACTGCCCAACGGTGAGGCGGATGGCGCAGCGCGGCACTCGGGAGGCTCTGCGAGTATGACTACGAATAAAGAATAATGCGCGGAGGGATTACACATCGACGCCCCCTCTTTGCGACACCCTTTTACATTGGTTTAGCGGGTTGCGGTTTGACACGGAGTTTATGGAGGAGTTGGAATTGTTGTTTTTATCAGAGAATGCTTGGACACGACGCGAAGAAGAGAGGCTCTACTTCTTACTCAGTTGTTTCTCCTGGTACCGTTTCAATCCACTTGTTATGTACACAGTTTTATCTGCATCTGGTCTCTCGCCACCGGCGGGAGATGCGTGCACTTGTTTTCCTATCTTGCTTTCTACTCAACCGGCCTTTGTACGATAAACTATGTAGTTTCAAGACAAAGACGTAGGGAAAAGAAGAATACGAAGAAATACGATGGTTTCGGATGCTCCTTGTAATCCTCTACTGCATTGGACGCAAAAAAAGTATGCGTTGGCATAAAGCATGGGGCATCATCTATTATTTCCAAATCATAAAACTAGTCATCATTTTATCCCCTTTAGTCTATCCCAACAGCGTGAGCCTGGACATTTTGGCCAGCACCGGTGGTTCAGCCATTTTCGACTGGTCTCCCATCCACTCGGCGAGGACCGCGTCGCCGCCCTTGGCGTGAAACGACTCGCCGCCATCAACCAGCGCCTCCTCGACACCGCCCTGCGCGACGGCCGCAGCCGCATTCGGAAAGACTTGCGCGACGGCGGCCGCGGCCGCCTCGAGGACGTCCTTCATAAGGGCCTCTGCGTTGCGGGCGCGCTCCGCCATGCCGCGACGCACGAGCGCAAAGACGAGGCGCTCGACCTCGTCCTGCGCGGCGCCGACGCGCTCGACCAGGCGGCGGGTGCTGTTGACGAGGTACTCCTCCTCGTAGACGGTGCCCTTGCGGCCGCGGGCGCGCTTCTTCTCCTCGCGCTTGCGGTTCTTGCTCGTGGCGCGGCTGACGCCCGTGCCGGCCGTGCCTACGCTGCCCGACTTGCCCGTGTAGCGCGTGAAGAGGCTGTTGCCGGTGGACAGCCGCGAGCTGGCGGCGACGGAGACGTCGTCGGGGACGTCGCCGCCGCCGGCGCGGTCGCCCTCGTAAAACGCTAGCGGGTCCTCGGCGGCCTTGCGGCGCAGCTCGGCGATGCGCGGCACCTGCGCGCCAATCTGGGCCTTGCAGTCGGCGAGAAACTCGGTGGTACTGCCGAGAGCCTCGGCGAGGCCGGCGTCGACGGCCGTCTCGAGCAGGGCGGGCTGGTCGTGGCGGGCGACGAGGCGCATGGCCTCGGCGAACAGGTAGCCTTTGCAGAGGCAGCTGACGGCTGTCTCGAGCGAGCCCAGGTACTCGGCGTGGATCGTAGCGGCGGCGGAAAAGTCTTTGGCCTCCCAGAGGGCATCGGCGAGCGTCGTGGCCAGCTCGCGCGCGGTGTCGGGGTCCAGCGGCGGCGTCTGCCGCTGCGCGGAAAACAGGCACTCGCGCCAGCAGTCGGCGCCGGCCGTGCGGTAGCAGCGCGCGGCCTGGTCGTACTGCTGCAGCGACTCGTGCGCCAGGCCGGCCTCGCGGAACGCGGACGTGGACTCGAGGTGCGCCGCGTAGAGGGTCGTGATTGTGCGCAACCGCGGCGCGTCGTACCGGTACAGCCGCAAGGCGTCCTGGTAGAGCGCGTGCTTGGTGGCGTAGCTGCACAGCTCGTCAAAGGCGTCGAGCGCGTGCAGATGCGCGAGGGCCTTGGCGCGGCGGTCGAGGTGGTCGTCTATGGCAAATTGGCGGCGCAGCGGAGACAACCCGTGGAGAGTTTGCAGAAAGGGCAGGTATTCGCGGGGGTCCCGCTGCGACTGCTGGGCGACGAGAAGGGTGAGCTCCAGGTTGTACAGACCGAGTGCGTGCTCGTAGAGTCGGTTGACGTCGACGAGGAAGCAAATGTGCTCAATGGCCTTTTCGGCAACTTTGGGGTCCTCCTGCATGAGTTCGTACACGAGGGTGAGGCCATCATCGAGCGCCGGTGGGCTCTTGCAGACGTGCGCCGTGATGATGTTTTGTAGGTGACTGGACTTGCGCGGTTGCAGGCCCTTGAGGAGAGCGTCGCAGATTGTGTTGACCTTGCTCTCTGAAGGTTTCGTAGCGAAGCTGGGCAGTTCTGAGGGCAGCATGTTGGCGGATGGTTTGTATTTCTTTGTGTCTTGATACATGGTTTGCGTAACATCTTCTTCCTTCAGTGAAGAGAGAAATAGATCAATGTAGGAGATTTCGCTCAACTGATCCAGAAAAATGGGAACGGAGGCCAGAAACTGGTCAAACTTGTAGTCGCAAAGCACATTCATGTCTACTCGTTGGGTTCTGCAGTATGAGAACGCTTTCCCATATTCTTTGGCGTCAATCAGACGACGAATGCCAGCAAGAACCATTGCGCGAGGATAAATTGTTTCCAGATTGCCTCGTGGCATTTGTAGGACAATGCTCATGTTTGTTGGCATCGCCGTGACGAGGCGCGAACCGCGCTCGATGCTCCTGCATCGTTCGTCCTTTTCCGGATCATCCCCGGGGACTTCCAAATCTTCCACATCATCCACGAGATGAACGTACTTGACCAAGTGGTTGCTAGTCGTAAAGATAAGATGGTGAGGTGTGAGAATAAACGAGGTGCAGTTCTTGGCCAACTGTTTTGAATTTGCGTAAATGTGGCCAGTTCCTGAGAGACCAAATGCAATGATAGCGTCGTCGCTCGGCTGGAAAATCTCAAAAGAGGACAGCATTGAAGGGAACTGGATCCCCAGCGGCTTTATCGCTGATGCGGAAATTTGGTACAGCTTTCCAGAGGCATCTTGGCCGTATCCTTCTAAGGTAGATTCATCGTCATAGGTAGCTGTGCTCAACAGAGGAGTAGGAATATCCTGGAGAGCCTCTATGCTTGCGCCACCTGCATCGATGGCGGCACTGACAGGTCTTTCGCCCTGGTAGGCAAACAGACGATATCCCGTAGATGTGGCGACAATTCGAAGCGGTAAAAAGTATTCAGTAGAAGGAAGGGTGAAATGGAGCTTCTTCGTCAGCTTTGGTCTACTAGTCCTGCCATTGTTGCTGGGAAGATCGTAGAAATCGACACCCTGGTGGTGAAGAATGGCAAAAGAGCTGTTGCGGTGACCGAATGCAATGTCAATGGCTGACGATTCGGTCTCGATATCGCAAAAGGACATGGGAGGAGGTACGTTAGCAGTTCTGAAAGGAGTAAATTTGACATTCAATCCGTCCACGACGGCAACGGCACCAATATCATAGGGCTGTTGGCAGGAGCCCCTAGCAGAATGCAAGACCTGCTCCGCAACAATAAGGCCATTGCCGGTTGAGAATGCCAGTCGTAGCGCTCTCTCGGGATGCCACGATAGCGTGGGAGCGCCGCCGACATCTCTTGGGATCTCCTGCTTGAGATACCAGTGATAGTTGCCCATCGTCCAGAGCTGTATTGTCTTGTTCAGGACTATCGCCAAGGTGGTAGAGTCGGTGTTCCATTCTAGCTGGATGCTGGGGCATGCAGTCGCATCTTCGAGAGAGGAGCGCAGAGTAAACTGGCCGTGGCGAAGACCATTTCGCTCAAAAAAGACAACATCAACCCGGTCTTGGAACCGCTGAATACCGGCCATCAAATTTCCGGATGGCCTCCAGCTGAGACTGCTCTCGAGGTGATCCACAGGCTCGCTCGCACTGTCGAGCTCGCCCTCTCTTGAGTACACACGAATGACGCGACGCGAGCCCTGCTGAACAGAGTTGATGGCAACATAGGAGCCGTCGCCACGCCAGCTGATTGTTGCGGCGCTGTTTTCATGTTGGCTGGCAACGCCCTCGTCGACCTTTTCAGGAATGGTGGGATCGCGGAGCGCCTTGGCGCCTCGCCCTTGAAACTGCGTTTCCTTTTTGCCCCAGCCGACAGAGACATGCTTGGAAGCTCGGAGGTCGTCGACCGTCATGGCCACCTCGGCGACGGGGTCCAGAGAGCTGCCCATGAAGATGGCATTGTTGGCCTTGGTGACGATGATGAGCAACTCTTCGTCGGGAGACCACCTAGCTGCAGAGATGCCATCGTCGATGGAACCAACAATTTCAATGTGAGCATCTTCACCACCGACTTGATCCTCCTTGACGGTGATTATGTCGCCGCCCTCCAGAACTAGATATATTGTTGCCGTAGCACTCAGATACTGAATGTTAAGGATTTTGTCTACTGGTAGGTCAGGATTTGGGCTCGGAGCATCCCAATTTGTGACGGGCCTTTGAGAGCTAGTCTCGGTCAGCATCAACGTTCTGTTTTATAGACGGTTGGACCGCGTTTGACTCACAGATGGCGGCCTTCAGATATGCGAAGCAGCTGAATGGTGGGATTATGGGCTGTTGGACCAATAGTGCAAATGACTTCGTCTGTATCAGGATCCCAGCATGCGGCGGTTACATCAGCTTGAGCCAGACGGCCGAATCGAAGGTTTCTTAGATTGCGCATCTCGTCTGTTTGATACAGACGGTTGGGTAGACCAGTGTGGCAGCCGCGCGCCGAGTTTTCCGTAGATCCGCCCCTCCACAGAAAAAGAAAGGAAATGGGAATAAATTAGATAAAAAGGCCCAAATTCCCTGTTAAGTTGGACTGATACGGTTTCGAAAGGAAACAGAACGCTTCATGTGTGGATGCCGTTGAGCCACAATGGGCCCTCAGCGATTGGGTGCCCGAAGAGCTCAGCACGATACACCAGTTGGCGCTGTACTAAGTGTCCGAGTTTTAGTGTACTCGGGCGCTTGACAGCCCGCAACGTTACTGAGTTGGTAGTAGCAAAAATTTTCGCCACAGGCGGGAGCAAGGTGGAGAGGTCACGTGGTGACACTGAAGCTCACTATTGTACACAGGTAAAGAGAGAACGAACTGACGAGAGGCTTGTGGTGATGCTGATATGTAAAAAAAATNAAAAAAAAAAAAAAAAAAAAAAATTACAATCCGAAATATAATCACTGATACGCAGTGACTCTGTGTTGTTGTAGCGTGACTTTCTGGTCAAGCCGATAGAACCCGACTGCTGAGGTCGTCGCTATCCACACGCACAATGCAGCAACACCGTAGTCAATATCAAAGCACTGCTATACCTCAAGTGGCAACTTCGAGTCCAAGTGGCGTCAGCTAATCCAGGAAACAGGAGACGCGAACGGAAAAGAAAAACTGAGGCTACTTATCTAGTGCTGCAAAGCTCACTAGCCTTCTACGGGAGCCACAGCCAGAGCGCTGTCGAGGCAAGCCAGGCGCGCCACAGCCTCGTTGCCTCGGCGCTTTACAGGGCATTTTTTGATCGCCGTAGTGGTGGTCCGGTGGAACATCCCCAGCTTCCGGATACCGCTGGGGCAAGCCTATCAGCGGTCGCGCTTTTACAACCAGGACCGCAAAAAACACCCGATGCTCAATGGCAAAAGTCGGGATGAACTGACATGCCGCGTCGACGAGAAATTGATCCGGGACCATTGATCCTAGGTACTGCAGCTGTGTATTAACCAGCAACCCAGCTTTGCTTTTTGGTGGCTGACGTTTGAGCTATCGCCTGGCACTACTGCACCATCTCCGTAGCCTCCTCCCCCTCCAAGCCAGCCATGGTCTGTCTTTATAGCCGCTGCTCGCCGCCCACATCGGCCGACCCGAGGAGACCAGAAACCTGAAATTTTTCGTTTCCTCACTTGCATAAAATAGCTCCCATTCCCGCCTCCCATACGGGAACACCAGTCATACCTCTTCTCACCTTCCGCCTCTAACTACCTATCATTTACACCCGAATACAAGTAACCCCACCGCTTCCCTGTTTGTCACTACTGGCCCAAGCTTGGCACCACACTGGTCTAGCCTAGCACTACAGTCTAACTACGTACATTGCCAGACATTGGCTTCCAAGACAAACTTCATCCCATCAACAGAGTACGGCCGTTGCTGGCGCTACAGATACACACACACGGCGAGATGGATCTGGCCTACAACCAGCACGCAGACCGCGCCCGGCGCAAGAACCGCTCCTCCACCAACATCAACCACTTGACACTCGCGCCGCTGACAGTCAAGCTGCCGCTCAACGATCCCGACTCTCTCGCTGACCTGACCAGCGGCGGCGGGCTCCTCACCTCGTCCTACCTCGAGGGCAAGTCGGCGCCGACGACGCCGCGATTCCTCGGGCACGCCGCCGCCACGCCGCGCTCGCGCTCCCAGCACCGCACCAGCACGCCCTACAGCGAGTCCCTCATCAAGAGCCGGTCCTCGATGAACCTCGGCCGCGCCGGCTCCGGCACATCAACGCCGCGCCGGCGACGCCGCGCGGCCGACGACGAAGCCTCGACCCTCACAAGCCGCCACCGCAACGACAGCGACTGGATGCTACGCACCGGCGCCCTCTTGAGCTCCGAGGCCCGCGAGTCCAAGGGCCAGGCATGGCTCGTCTCGCGGCAGAGCTCCACGAGCCTCACTGCCCTGCGCGACGGCAGCGACGACAGCGAGGACGCCTTTGCGCAGGAGCGGGCTCGCGAGCGCCGCCGCGGCAGCACCGACGACGCGTCCTCGCCCGCCCTCAGTCGCCGCACCAGCCGCTTCGCCAGTCGCGCGCAGAGCATGGATCACAACGCCCTTCGTAGCAGCGCCGCCCTGACGCCGATGGACCGGGGCAGCGCTGGTGACTCGTACTTTCCGGTCGACGATGCCATCTCCGGGCCCGATTTCGTCAACCTCGACCAGAAACTGGAAGAGCTGGAGCGCGACAATGAGCTGGATGACGAGGCTGCCATCCGCCGCCTCATGCGTGAGGGTAAGGCGCTCAAGGGCTCCTGGATCGCCAGCTTCATCGGCTGGTCGCTATTTGAGGAGGACGGCGATGACGACAGCGACGAGGGCGAAGACGAGGAGGAGGAAGAGGGCAGGCGCGGCACGCAAACACCCAGACACATTGAAGGCATCACGAACTTGCCCGCGGTCAAGCTGTCTCCACCCAAGGAGAGCGAGAGTAGCTGGAATGACGCCGCTTGGCTGTTGAGTCTTGCATCCAAGGTTGTATTTTAAAGTGGGCGTTTGTTGCGTGGCTGCGTGTTTTTCAGTCTACGAGAGTTTGCATTTGAAAGCGGTTGTGTGTGTCGCAAAGTGACAGTCTTGGTTCCGGGTAGGGGTTTCGTTTTTTTGCTAATTTAAAGCATAATATAATATGTAGCATATCATTTAGTAGTTAATTCAAATGTACTGGGTGTGGTACATACAACAAGGCCGTGTCGTGCCGCAGCCATCCTAGGCAGCACAGCATCAAAGCGACGACAAGAATATGCTTGTATTTTCCAGGGGTTCTTCTTTTTCGGGTTGCCAATTTTTCTAGTTATAACAACCTCAAGTCTACGAATGCACCTATGCAGATAAAAATATCGAAGGATTCAGCCACCAACCACCAACGTGCAGGTGATCCCTGTATCCGTAGCGCGATATCAGTGGATATCTCGGATGCGTGTCATTGCATCATAAAATGGTACCAATGTCTGCGACATTATTCTGATTCACCGACATGTAGATATTGGATTGCTGTGTTGGATCAAGTGTTGGGGGCCTCTTGAAGCACGTTGGTCAACATAGTGATTACCTTGGCCCTTGACTACTTAGTAGTATGTTGGTAGCAAGATAAGTGCAGCGCGCAGCGGGCAAGAAGAGTACGGTAGGTACATGCGCAAGTGCGGCCTCCAGCTGGAGCCGCTTGTACCAGTACCCTGTCTGTCGCCTTGGCAAAAGCGCCGCAAAAAAACCAACCCTCATTGGGTTGGAGGTTGCCTCCCTCAAAGCCATCAAGGTTCCTAAACTAGGCGACTGCATGACATGACCTTCATAAAGGTCAGCAACTCGCGCTGCGACGGCTGCCACATAAAGGTACAGGTCACACACTGCAGAATCCAACATTATCATCAAAAGGACTGGTGCCTGAACTGTGAAACCCTTTTTCCTCCTTGGCTTGTCTCGATGCAGCTCCGATCATTACTTCCCGGACATCTTTCCCTTTCGACACGGCGGCTCTACTAGCTCCATCATCGCTGCTTGCTTCTTCCTGTGGCGCTGGCTGCCCTGAAATACACCGCATCATCATCATCGACAGCACCGCCCACCGCCTCGCACGCTTCGTCAACAGACTGACTACCAAAGCGAAAAAGTGCTCTCAGAGCGCTATCCGCTGCCCGCCATGGCTTCAACAACCGGACTCGACAACGACGTCCGCGGATGGATCTTGTGCTTCATCAGCGGCATTGGTATGCTTCCCGCAGCGACTCTTCCGCAGCTACAATGCTAATCCCTTCGCGTGCAGCCTGTATTTTTGGGGCGAGCGTCGTATGTGTTGATATTCTCATCCGCTTGCTGCCGGGCAAGTCCACCTTTCGCATTCAAGAAAGCAATGCCTTTCTTGCCTGCTCTCTCAGTTTAAGCTTCGGCGTCATGGTAAGCTGTCACCAAGTCCACTGGTCACCTCTCCCGGCCCCTTCTAACTCACACTGTCTCCGTTTAGATGTTCTCGTCGTTATATGTCATGCTGCCAGAGGCCCGAGAATACCTCAGAGGCGAGCACTGGAATGATCAGAAAGCCGCCCTTCTCATCATGGGTTGCTTCATTGGCGGTTTCATCGGTATCCAAGCTGTGTCACGGTTCCTACACCAACACATGCCCTCACATGTCGTCGACTGCGACCACACTCACAAGGACTCTTCGCCTTTCGACGACGAAGATGGCCAAAGATCTCACAGCAACGGCCACAACCACGGCCACAGCCACAGCCAGCCTCACCACGGTGAGACACACAACTCTGCGTCTTCTGCCTTGTCACACAGTAGACGCTCGCGCTTGCCGTCCCCCCATGCGCAAGCGCACCCCCACGTTCAAACATCAAACGGGTTCGCTCATGACCAAGCTATCGAGACGACACCGTTGTTGCCAACGTCGAAATACGCCACCGTTCCCTTCCGAGGCCGCGGCCGTGCCATGACGGAGGATGTAGACGCTCCCCGAAGACCGTCGATGCTAGAGGTCCAAAAGCGCGTCATGTCTTTTGTAAAAGATACAAAATCGTCCTGCGACGAAGAAGGCTCTTGCTACGGCTACTCTGACCCCTGCGGCCAGGAATGCTTCAAGCATATTTCGTACCGCGCCGTGAAAGCTAGCAGGTCACAGACCCGACTACGAACTACCATGGGCGCTATCCATCCGCCGCACATCTCGACCAACCTCGACCCCGACCACGACTATGCTGAGTCTCTCGTGAGCCCCATGTACCGCACCAGCCGCGCCACATCGCGCGATGCCGTACTGCGCCCCCCGGTAGAAAGCGTCCACGAAGACGACGAGGGACATCCTAGCATCGCAGACGGCCGCGATCATGTGAGTGAGGCTGGCCACAACTACGCCTCGTGCGCTGCAAGCCACGCCGAGGACACGGAGGCGCCGCAGCACCATCACCATGTACCCACCAACGCCTTCCTCTCCATCGGCCTGCAGACATCCATCGCCATCACGCTACACAAGCTCCCCGAGGGCTTCATCACGTACGCCACCAACCACGCGAACCCCGAGCTCGGCTTCAACGTCTTCATGGCGCTCTTTGTGCACAACATCACCGAGGGCTTCACCATGTGCCTGCCGCTGTATATGGCTCTCGGATCGCGCTGGAAAGCCATGGCCTGGTCCGCCCTGCTCGGCGGCTTGTCCCAACCTTTCGGTGCTGGAATCGCCGCCCTCTGGTTTAAGCTCGCCAACAGGACCAACATGCAACCCAACGCCGTCGCCTACGCCTGCCTATTCGCAGCCACGTCAGGCATCATGGTCAGCGTCGCCCTGCAGTTGTTTGTTGAAGGCCTGAGCCTCAATCACAACCGTAATTTGTGCATGTTTTTCGGGTTCCTGGGCATGGCGGTCCTGGGCCTGTCCAACGCTCTCTTTGCAGGGCATTAGAGGTAAAGTCACGGGAAAATACGCGATGACATTTTTCGGGGACAGGATTCTGCTCATTACGGGTATGTGCATCCTATATCCATTTCTATTTTCAAGGATACAGATTTGCATATCATGGTTTTGCTCGCGAACAAGGGTTTCGCATCTGCGTTTTTCGGCATAGAACGGGGTCATGAGTTCTTCTTGAGCGAAGAAGCGGACTTAAGCTGCGTACATAGGGAAGCGACACAAGTAGGAAATAATGAATAATGTGCCAAGATTCTCGTCTACATGACGGCCGATATGTGCGCATTATCATCCACTGCAATATAAAACATGAAACTTTTTCATCATTTGTAGCGAGTAATAAAACCCATAATCAATCATAATAAATACGCCTGTGCTTATATGCCGCCATGTCTTATGTCAGTGTTGGTCGTAAAAAAGTGTCGTAAAACTCAACACTGCAAATTCGTCCAAAAAAAAAATAGAGAAATAGCAAAGGAAAAAGAAAAAAAGCCCTTCTATACATTGCCTAGTGCAGGATCAATGTGTGCTTCCAGCGCCGGCGAGTTGCGTGCCAACAGCATGATGCCCGCCTCGTCGTCCAGCCACTCGTCCCGCGGGGGCCCGTAGTGCATCTCGGCCGCAAAGATGGCGTCGTCCTCGTCGTCGTCGCCGGTACCACCCAACAGGCCGCCACCTCCTTCCGCCTCGGCAAAGAACTTGTGCTCGGCGCCACCGCTGCTCTCCGCAAACAGGTCGTCCCCCGAGGGCACCGGCGGCGCGTGCGCGGCCGCCACGTGCGCCTCGAGGTCGTAGTAGCGCGCAAACACCCCCGGGCAGAGCGCGCAGGCAATGGGCTTCTTCACCTGCATCTTGACGCCGGAGAGCTCGTCAATCAGGTCCACGTCGGCCTCGCCCTCGCCGTCTCCGGTTGCGGAGGCGCTGGGCTTGGGCGGCCGCTCCTGGCGGAGATGGATATAGCGGACGTGGTCCTCGAGGCGGACCTTTGTGCAGAACTTGTCGCCGCAGCCGAGGTCGTTGGACCAGGCGTCGAGCCCGGCGACGCCGGCGAGGTCGACCTCGCCGCAGACGAAGCGGAAGCCCTCGTGGGCGGTGCGCTGGTGGGCGCGCAGGTTGGAGCGCTTGGTGAAGCTCTTGACGCAGCCGGCGTGCTCGCAGACAAAGGTACGGCGGTCGTCGACCGTCTTGCCAGAGTGGTGGACGTCAATGTGCGTCACCATTTCGGCCTGCGATGCCGACGTAAAGTCGCAGAACAAGCAATTTTGATGCTCGCGCTTCATGTGTGCCAGCAGCAGCGGGTGCGTGGTGAAGCCGACGTGCTTCTCGGTGCCGTCCGGGCCGGGTTGCAAGGCGCACTCGCTGCACCAAAACTTGAGCTCGCCGTGGAGCTTTTGCTGGTGCCGCTTGAGCGCGCCCTGGGACGCAAACTTGGCGTCGCAGCCGGGCTCGGCGCACTGGTGCGGCGACTCGCCCTTGTGCGCCTGAAGGACGTGCTTGTGCAGCGTCTCCTTTTTGCGGAAGCTCTGGCCGCAGTCGGGGCAGCGGAAGCGGTCGGCGCCCTCGTGCACGGCCTGGTGGCGCTTGAGCCGGGTGCCAGTGACGAAGCTCTTGCCGCAGCCGGGCCGCGCGCAGACGTGGGCTCGCTCGTTGGTGTGCACCGCCTTGACATGCTGTTTGAGGTGCTTGTCCTCGATGTAGTCCTTGTCGCAGCCCGCATAGCCGCACTTGAACGGCCTCGAGTTGGTGTGCGAGTTGAGGTGGTCACGCAGCCGCGCCGGCCGGTTGAATGTCTTGGGGCACCCGGGCCACGTGCAGGGTAGGGTTTTGAGGTCCGACGGGAATTTGGCCCGCGGCGTCGTGGCGACGGTTATGGGCGAGTCGAGGTCGCCCGCAAAGGAGCTGGGCGTTTCGGCGGTCGTCACATCGTCTTCGCCGGCGTCGAGGATGGGATCTGGCAGGGACGGGGGTCAGCGGCTGGGCGGGAGGAAGAACCCGGTGCGGTATGATGCCATACATATGCTGTCGATGGAGTCGTCGTGTAGCCGCTTGGCTGGATATGCCTCGAGCAAATCGGTCTCTAGGCTTCGCTTATTCATAATGTACTCATGACATGCCAGACATGAGCTGGGAAGCAGGATATTGGAGTTGCGATGGTCGTTTTGGAGGTGGCAGAACAAAAATTAAGGCGGTGTCTGAAAAAAGTTTGTGGGGCTTATCCTCGTGACGATACCGTGGTGGGTTTCTACCAAGGCTTGAACTCATACGATAAACACTCTCCCTATCAAGAGCAATCATGAAATTCTCAGAAAATGACAGAATAACAGTAGATATTAAATCGACATGGTCCAATTTACAATTATATGCTGGCATTGTGAATTCCCTCTACGACGTAGCGCGGTGGCCATAAGCTACCTAGGTAGGTACCTAGGTAACATAGCGGCGGTGGTGCTTGTTGGCTGCGTCAGTGTCAGTGGGCTTCGGGGGTCGCGCCCGCCGGAAAAACTCTACCACTGGACGAGATCCCGCCGTGCCTTTTTTCACGAGCTGCTTCAACAACCTAGCGACGAGATCCGAACCACGCCTAAAATCAAACTCGGAGCGGCCTAGCGATTCGCCGACGGAAGATTGGGATTCTATTTTTGACCAGAGATTCTTGGAAATGTCTGACTTTGGCGACGACGATGTCGGTGGTGGCGGGTAAGCAGTTGCGCGCCCGCATCCTCGCGCTGCTTTGCGCCGGAGGTTCTTCTTCATGCGCCGCCCTATGCTAACGTGGCCATCTGCCAGTGACGACACCATCTTCGAGGAAGAAGACGCGACCGAGTTCTTCGAGCCCGAGGCCGGCGAGGGCGACGACGACCAGGACCAGCTGGAGAATGGCGAGGACCAGGACAACATTGTCGTCTCGGGCGACCCTTCTGCGGCCGCCAACGCGAGTCGCGCCGACAAGTCGAGCAAGGACAAGAAGATTCCCGACGAGGATCGCAATACGACACCATACATGACAAAATACGAGAGGGCGCGTATCCTGGGCACCCGCGCCCTGCAGATTAGGTACGACGACACCTCCTTGGCGCATGACTGAGAGCAATGCTAACGAGTCATCGACGGCAGCATGAACGCTCCAGTTCTGGTAGATCTGGAAGGCGAGACGGATCCCTTGCAGATTGCCATCAAGGAGCTCCGTGAAAAGAAGATTCCTCTGATTGTGCGACGATACCTGCCGGATGGCTAGTACGTATTTCTCTCCCTCGAGGCATCTTGTTTGCCCACTGCTAACCAAACTACAGCTACGAGGACTGGACTTGCGAAGAGCTGCTTCAGTAGATTTTCTGATGGTTACATCAGGGCGGCATGCGGCAAACGGCGAACGACCGCGGCTTCCTACAATGACCAAGCTCAGATACACACGAGCGCCTCGACACCAGCGCATCAACTTTCAACGGCCGGCTTAGGAAATCGGAATGCAAGGCGGAAAGCCATGCGGATACTTCAAACCGGTGCGCAAGTCGCGGCTCTGCCTTGCCTCGTCGGGCATGCTAGTAGAGCACTGGGGAAAGGCTTCTTTAGCAAGCCTTTTACGAATGCATGAGCACGGCGTTACAAAATAACCGAAAAACAAAAATGTTTTTGTGTACTTTTTATATATAAATAATATCATGTTGAAGACATCGGTTCGCATGTCAAGAGGGACAGAATAAAAGAGAAAGTCGAGTATGTCGAGTTATATATAAGTCGACCAGGCATCGCGTACTCCGGTGACTAAAAAAGGCGAAGCAAATGTTTTGAAGGCAACAATTCCGTGCGCTCGCATGCACCTTCCCGCGTAGCTAGCTATACTGAATATGATGGCTCATACTTAACTACTATTCACTCATATTTGCTCAAGGAGGCTGAACTAGGCTCCGCATCGCGCTGAGTCTAATGTGGCTTGCAATGAATGAGGACATCTGATCCTTTGTCTGCAATAAAACTAACCGATTAGACATTGAAGCTGTTCGATCACGCACCCAAGGCCGAGCTGTCGTCAGCAACTTACCCACGGATGTAACCGCCAAACTTGGATGGCGTCTTTGAGCCAACGGCCCAGTCTGGAGTCCGCCAAGCAAATCAGCAGCAAAGTAAGGTTGCGCGCCCACCCGTCATGATTAGCGAACCCGGCTTTATTAGCCCTGGTTTCAAACGTCGCGTTCTTGATTGGTGGTTCTTGGTTGGCCGTCTCACAATTCGAAACGGACTCTGAAAAGTGGCTGTCGCTTACTCTTTTTCCTATACATCCCATTGGAAGAATTAATTTTTATCTCTGCTCTAAACGATGCGCTGGTAGCTTGAGGATAAAAAAAGACAAAAAAAGAGACCAAGCTGTCTCGCGTCTATCCGACTTGGGGGCATCGTATTGGCTCAACCGCCACCATGACCGACTCCGAGAGACTTGCGGCTGAACACGATCCGCTGCTGCCACCCGCACAATTCACAGGCGGCGGCGCGGCTGTCCCCGACGACGACGCCGACAACCGCACCGCGGCGCAGCGGCTGCGCATCGCCATCCCGTGCCTGCTGAGCTTCTTCTGCCTCATGATGGGCGACGCGCTCGCGACGACGCCCGTGATGCAGCTGCGCGAGAACCTCATCTGCCGGCAGCTGTTCCCCGACCTGCCGCCCAGAACGGACCTGACCCGCGACCCCCTTTGCAAGAGCAACCCCGTGCAGGCCGAGCTGGCCTTTGTCAACGGCTGGGAGCTGACCTTTATCATGATCCCCAGCATCCTCACCGGCGTGCCGTGGGGCATCGCGGCCGACCGATACGGCCGCACGCGCATCCTGCAGCTGGCCAACCTGGGCGTCGTGCTCGCGCTGCTGTGGCAGGTTGTCGTGTACAGCTTCCCGGACGTGCTGCCGGTCCGCTTCATCTGGCTGCAGGGCGTCTTCTTCCTCCTCGGCGGTGGCGCGTCCACGTACGGCGCGCTGCTGTACACGATTGCCAGTGACATTTCGAGCGAGGCGTACCGCGCGACGGCCATCCTCTACCTCGGCACCGCCACCCACGCCGCCACTCTGCTCGGCGGGCCCGTGACGTATCTCGCCATGCAGCGCGGCGCCTGGTTCGCGTTGTATCTGGGCATCGCGCTCTGGCTCCTGGTCTTTGTCCTGACTGCCATGATCCCCGAGACGCGGAGCGACGCTGCGGTGAGGCGTGCGCGCGAGAGTGCCTTGCAGGAAGACGTGGGCCCGACAAAGCACGCCTGGTGGGATGTGCGGCCCCTGGTTTCGAGTGTGATCAAGCAGACCAAGATGGTAACCCAAGTCATCTTTCTCAACAATGCTACCCTGGGGATCTTGCTCTTCAGCACAGTCTTTACGACTTTGGGATCGGCCGGCGGTACTCTGCAACAGCAATACGCTGCCAAACGCTTTGGATGGACCCTGGCCGAGACGTCCTTTTTGGCGTCCATCAAGGGCGTCGTCAGCATTGTCCTCACGGCGGCCGTGCTTCCCGCCATCAGCCAGGTCTTACTGGCCAAGTGCAAGCTGGCCCCCATTATCAAGGACTGGTGGATGACCATCGGTAGCCTGTGTTTCATCGTGGTTGGGAGCGCCTTTCTCACTGTCGCTGGTAGCAGTGCCTTATTCGTCGCCAGCTTGGTCATTCTTCAGCTAGGCAGTGGGTACGAATTCGCCTTCCGCAGCATGACGTCCGAGATGGTTGACTCGTCACATATTGCTATGCTCTTCACGGCATATTCGGTCTTTATAATGTTGAGTGAAGTTGGGGCTGGTCCCGTCCTTGCCGCCGTGTTTCGAGAGGGTCTCGACGTTGGTGGGAAGTGGATGGCTTTGCCATTTTTCCTCGCGACCATTCTATTTTGTACAACGTTGATTATCACGTGCTCGGTGCGACTGAACCGACATACAAAGGCACAAAGCGTTGGTCATTAATGTATCATAGACCAGGTCAGTTTTTTTATCCATGTGAGTTTTCCATACCGGCGACCGTTCTATGCTGACATAATTTTTGTACCTGTAAAGGAAGTTTGTCACGACAACCTGCCTGAAAAATATCAGACTGCGCCATCAAGGTCGTGACCTCTGGCACTACACTTTCTCTGACAGCCAATCGGCCACGATCTTTCTCCCCGGACTTGCTTTCGGGAGGATGTAGCAGTGCAGGGCCGGATGCTCGATTCATCAAATCCTGGCAACCGCGGACAGATGGTTGATGCAATCTCGATCTTTATCGCTTTCCAAGAGATTCCTGGCCAATTTCGCCTCGGCGTAGCTCACAAAATGACAGAGTTCTGCTCTCCTTTCGTGGTCATTTGGGCAAACATGACCAGGATGACGCCACGATCCCATCGCGCGAAACCACAGCCCGTGGAAAAATATCGCGGCTATGCAGCATGGATCTGGCCGGGTCAGCCTGTAATACTGTGCTGGAATTGTTTCAGGCGGTCTCTACTGATATTGAAGATCATAATTGAAAGGCAAAAGATATGACGCTAGGTAAAGTCTTGGATGAAATCGATAAGCTTCTTCGATCGCTCCTATTAGGCAGTCTGTATTCAAGCGCCTATATTGGCCTCGACCACTGAAATGACAGCAACTGAGTCTTGCTCTGAGATGCGAGATATATCGTCTAGTATAACTTCAGTAAGGTCTCCATCATTCCCGCCTCCTTGCCCGCCGCCCTGCCCGCCGCCTTGCCCGCCGCCTTGCCCGCCGCCTT